TACCTGCTATGGAGAGGAGTGGGAGCAAGGGGAGTCTGGTTTTGACGGGAAAGCTTTGGGATGCGTGTGATGAGGTTGTTAAGCTTGCGGATCTGGGGGTTGGTGGGTTTTATGTTAGGAAGGCGGAGGAGTGGAGGGATACGCTGAAGGATGTCATGGAGGAGTTGAAGGAGTGGGGAGAGGAGGAGGAGGATGATGAAGAGGATGTTGATGGTCTGGTCGATGATATGAACAACACCTCGCTCACGGATCAAGAAATGGTCGACGACCTCATGAACTCCTCCTCCGCCATCCCCAAATCCGACCCCGATAAGATCCGCCCCCGCCTCGACTCAACCCTCAAGCGTCTCCGAATGATCGTCCTTCTCTACCAAGCCATCTCCAAGCGCCGCTTCAAGAAGCTTCCCAAGGACACCACCACGGGCGACATCCCCTCCAAGCTGGACACAGCAGCGAGCGTTCTCGAGACATTACCGCATAAATTCGGGGATTTGGCCGGTGCGTTCTATGATCTTGATGCGGAAGAGATCGATGCACTCATGGAGGATTGTTTTGAGAGTGCGGTTGGTGTTAGTGAGGTTCTGAAGCTTGGGTGGGAGGGGGAGAGTGATGAGTTTAGTGAGTGGATGGAGAAGTTCAAGGTTGAAGTCAACAAGACATAGACGGGCCACGAAGTAAAGAATAAAACATTTGATACCAAGGCGAGCGATTGAGCATTGTGAAAATCCTCGTGGCATAGGTGTTACATGCCCGCTGACTGTATACCCTACTACACATGGTGCTCTTATACAAAGTACATTCCCTGACAACGCTTCTTCCGTCCGTCGTATGTTTAAAAGCCTATGCATCCCAAAATCCGTCTCTTCCATGACAAAAATCCCATCTAAACGTGTCTCTGTTCTGTAGCAGGTCGGCCCGTCACCGTTGTAAAGCCAGGATGTCCGAGTTGCTTAGCTTCATGTTCTGCCTCGTCCACAGGCGCAGGGGTTTCTGGTGTAATCATAACAGCCGGGGCAGCGAGAGAACTAGGAACAACTTCTGTCTTGGCAGTTGTCACACCTTCAACGTGCTCTGCCTCTGCGTCCTCCTTCTCATCCTCCTTCACTTGCGAGAGCGGTCGACCATGTGTGTCGTGAGACTCTCCCTCCTCGTCGCGGCGCATCTGGCCATTTTCGAGATCGGCGCCAACCATTTGGGCGAGACTGCTAAAGTTGAACATGGGCTCAGATCCAGCGCTTCCGCCGTCGCGTTCTCCGTCGTCACTGTAGGCACCGAGGCTCAGTCCACTAGACCGAGGACCCAAGTCGGCGCCCAGGTAGTCGGGTCCTGTGTATGTGCCAACAGGACTGTCGTTGACTGAAGACCCAACTGAGGAGGCATTGCTCATCTGCCTAAGATGTGATCCTCCACGCGAAGGTCCAGCGGGTAGTGGCAGAGAACTCGACGATGACGTTGGTCCAGCCTGGGTATCAATTGCGCCTCGATCCACCCCCTTACCTTTCCCAGGAGGCCCATCGTCCTTAGCTTTGGGTTCTGCTGGCGAATCCGGGGTGCTCGACGCTTGTGATGTCCTAGACATTGTAGCTTCTATACGGAGATTGCTGGCAGTACTATTGCCTCGTCGTCGACCCAGTCCCCCGAGTGACAAGCTACTAGCGCTCGCACCACTGGCACTTCCACTGTATGGATTTCCACCCTTCTTGGCGGCTTTGCGTTCCTCCTTCTCTCGTCTCTTAGTCTCCTTTCGAATAGCCTTTTCCTCCTTACGCTTGCGCTCTTCTTCGGAAGCAAGAGAAAGGCGAACAGCCTCCATAAACATCATCTCTTCAAGTTCGTCCATGCGACTCCTTCGTCCTGTACCGTTCCTCGAAGATCCTCTAGCTCCAGGTTCCGGTCCCTCGCTCGCGTCGTCCTGTGCACCATCTACTTGACCATGTCCACTGGGGCTGGGACTAGCATTTGAATCATTGTTTCCAGTGTTCCTTCGGCCAAATCGACTCGGGCGAAGAATCGATCTCTGTTCATTTCCGCCCATAAGGAATGCAGCTGTGTGAAGGGCGGTTGCTGCTGCAGCTCTTCGTGCTTGGTGGTTCCTCGCTGATGCGAGTTTCGCCGCCCAATCGGGACGCACGCGATCGGTGGTGATGACATTCGGCGCGTTCGCAGACAAACTATGTGCGCGTCGACGGCCGGGTATGGGTGGGGTCTGTAGTGTGCTGTTTAGTGAAGTCTGCGAAGACATGGCTGTGCCATGAGATGGGCCGCCCGAGTACGCAAGACCCCGGCGGAAGGGAGGAGGATCGTATGTGACGCCGAATTCGGGCTGTTGGCAGTAGGGGCATGCCGAGGGCTCCGAGATAAGCATCTCGGGCGGATCGTCCGGGTTAAGACCTTCATTGGGATCCCGGGCTTCACCGTTGGGGTGATGCTCAGGAAGGTGAGGATCAGTGCGCTTGATCTGAACAAAGCATTCGCTGCAGATATTCTGGTCACAGCACCTGGTGCGGTTCAAGTAAGGAGGATAAGTTAGGAAGCAAATTGGGCACTCCTCAGCATCTTTGTAAAGGAAAACCTCCATGGGTTGGCCGTTCACAAAGGGATCATGAGGGAGAGCAATCTCCTTGGGCGACAGATCGGTCGACGATGCATTTCGAGAACCACCGCTGAGTGCAGCAGCAAGAGCTTTGGCTCGAGGCTTAAATGGCGACTTGCTCACTCCTGGTGTCGACGGCGAAGGGAGACCGGATGGTGTGTTTGATCCACTGCGATCCGATGCGGCAGAAAGAGTCCTGGGTCCCATAGGCACCGTCAAGTTCTGGAGGTTCTGGCTCGAAGAAGATGGATTCTCTGCGGGAGGAGGCTGCGGGATGAGTTCTGGGTCGGGAGGCGCATCGGCGGGGGGGATAGGCAGGCCACGGGCAGCAGCGACGAGTTGATGCTCGGCCCAGCTCGAAGACCAATCATTGAGGCCTCGCCAGAATGGCGCAAGCTTCCTCTCTATCTGGGTGATGTCAGCTTACCGATAAGAACAACAGAAACAAAGAACGCACCTGTAACTGCCTCACGACAGGCTTGCTAAAGTCCTCAGTACCAGTGTAGGTGCCCAACGTCACCAGATAACCTCCATCAACGTGCTCTTCGCGCATACTCCTCTCCCGTTCCTTCGCCCGAGCCACGCGCTCCCTTTCCAACCTCCTCGCCTCGCGCTCCTGCTTTGTTTCGCGACGCTCAAAGGGAACATCTGGTTGCTCACGATTGCGGGAGGAACTGGGACCGATACCAAAGATGTTTATCTCTGCTCTGCTCATTCGTCGGTTCGATCTCGAGTTGGCGGTTTGTAAATGCTCGCGTACTGAAGGGTCGCCGGGACCTGCATATTGACGAGGATCGCCCTCGGGACGAGACTCTTTTGTGTTGGAGTTACCCATGGTGAAGATGTGAAGGAGAAGGCGAGGAGAGCAGCTGGGTTATGTGGCGCGATGGCGCACTTGGGCTTGGTCTTATCTGGCGTGGACCAGGGCAGGGGTGTAGTCGTCAACGATGGTCGTGAGGAAAAGAGAGAGAAAGCAGTTGTAGAGGAGATGAAGTTTGAGGTTTGAGTTGTGCTGTGCTTTGTCGTGTTGAGCGATATCGAGTGAGACAAAGGCAAGGAGCAAGCTTGTCTCGATAGGAAGAGTTACCGAATGTCCCGCGATGGGTTGGGATGGGGATTGGAGCTGATGCAGATGGGGACACGATAGAATGGGGGAGGGGCCGGGCGTCAGACGACGGGGGTCACCACAGAGGGCATCTCGCTTGGGCCGATAGTGTATGGAGAAGGTGGTATTGACAGCCTGGGGTACCAGTAATACTGTCCTGTAGCTCAGGTGTTTTGATGCGTGATCAAAGAAAAGTTGTTGGAGTTTTTGAAAGGATGAGGGTGGAGCGATAACGGACGTTTGTTGGTTGTTGATGAATCAAATCAATTGAGGTCGCCCGAGGGTTGGGTTGGGGGGAGGAGGCAGCCTGTAACAACGGCCGAAGGGTGCTGAAGCTAAAAGCCTAGAACAGCTGGTGGTCCCTGCTCTTTTACTGTACTTCTGCTGGGCACAACCTAAGGTAAGTGTCTGGACCTGGTTTAGCTGAGATCGGATACTGGAGCCCGCGAGCCAGGCGGGCGGGTAAAATGGATGGTGAGAAAAAAGGTACCTTAGTCCGCGGGGTAGCGCGAAGCTATTCAGGAGAGACAATACCAAGAGAGGAAGTACAATAAGAGGAAGAACGAAATACAGATTTGTTGGTGTTGAAAAGATGGCAGGTTGATGACTGAGGAATCAAAGACTGACAACTCACTCGCTCAAGTTGGAGAACCTTCCAACCCTACAAGCGTCGTAAGCTATCCTGGCAGAGCCCATCCATCTCTTGGTTTGGTGTAAACCTTGAACATGGTGATATTTCCATGCCTGACCAGTAGATATCTTATCTCCTCACATGTATCTCTTGCGGATTGAGGCCCGCATCATCAGCTTAGTTACTACCAAATTTACCCTGGACTTGTGCTCTGTATTTTCTTTTCCTTTTTTTCTTTTTTCGTTTGTTTCGAGAGATCTGCGCATCAACGTCATGGACCGTCACTAGATTTGAAGATCCTTGAACCCAGAATGTCAAAAATCAAGAAACAAGCATTTTCTGTTTCACGTATGTTTTCTTGACTGAGACTTGACATGACTGATAAGTGTTTCGAGTTATGCATACAGTTACTCTGTAATTGTGATTTCATGGATTACAGTTATCATGGTGAGAATATCAGGCCATCGTCTGACCTCCGAATGATCCGGATGGCAATAGGAATGTAACTATACGTCGTCTTCAAATCCGTATTCGGCATCTCAGAAGCTTAGCCATGCGATCTAATCCATATTTATCATATTGTCAAAGTGCTTGTAGTCGTAGCGTAATCTATCCCGTCTATCTCTATCCCCAACACCACATCATCATAATCATCAAAGTATACAACAGCCTTACTTCGTAGGCGCCCAAGCCTGCAACCAATCCCTCATCCTCTCCAAACTCCCCTTCTCAGCCTCCGCCGCAGCAATGCACCACTCGACATCCCAAACCCCCTCCTCCGCCATCATCTCCGCCAACTTCCTCCCCCTCTGACTCCCCTCATCCGTGCAGAACCACAGCGGCGCATCCATGTTCATCACGTCGCCCAGCAGCGGCCTCACCAGCGGGAGAACCTCCCTCGCACTCGACGGTTTCGCCTCAAGACCTGCGTTTGCGCGACCAGTCTTGCACCATGGATTCGCGCAGTGAGACTTGCCACAGCCTGTCATGAGCTGCCTGAGATAGCAGCGCTCGATGCGGCGTTTGAGGGCTTTGCCTTCGGGGTCGTGCATGCTGACGTATAGGGGGCCGAAGCAGATTGAGCAGAGACCGATGGAGTTGGAGGCTTGGTCGGTGGAGGCGGTTTGGCGGACTTGGCCTCTTGATCCGACGCCGAACATTGTTCTTCCGCAGTTGGCGTTGCGGCAGATTGGTGGTTTTAGACGAGATACTTTGTCGAGTTCGTGGTGTTTGAGATGTGTCTCCATGTCTTTCAGACGAACAATCTTGTCGCAGAGGTGGCATTCTGTTGTCCGTGTGCCATCGGCAAGTTCATGAGCCGTCAACCCAGACAGAACAACCTCTGGGCTGGGATTGAAAGGATCGCCTTCTTGAGGAACCTCGAGATGACAGAACCTGCAGAGTATCAACTTCCCGGGACACACGCTCGTCTGATGCCTCGCCAAATCAGCCATCGAATTCGTCGAAAATTCGCAGTGTGGACATTGTCGCTCCGTGTGAAAGATATCGTCATGCTTCGCCTTACTCTCTGTCGAATTCCCAGAAGCACTGTCCTTTTCACAATGCCAATGCGCTTCCCACTCCGGAGAGCCCTTCTTGAACACAGATTTGCACTTGGGGCAGACAATGTTATTCCTCCGACAGAAGTTTTCGTGTAGAACCATCGTCCGCTTCGGAACGAATTGTAAACAGTTACTACACTGCTCCTCGTCGGGAGAGTGTTCTTGTTCACTGGCCCCATTGGAAAGCCCGTTCGCTCCGTCCTTGGCGTCTTGTAAGTCCACCTTGGCTCGTAGTGAGTACTGCAATGTCTTCGGCGACTCCTTAGCATCTGGATGTTTGTATCCTTGCACCGATATCGTGATCTGCTCCGCTCCCTCCATTTCCACATTCGTAGGACTTATCACAATCCTCTTGACCCCATCAACTGCCGGTGAAAAGTCCCCAAAAACATGAACACTTTCTCGTGGCAGCGCTCGTTGTCGCGAAGATTTCGGCGTAACAAATAAATCGAGCGCGTCTTCATCTTCATCGGTAGTAAGCTCAATCGCAAGAGGTTGTGATTTATTCCACGAGGGAAGCACGTAATCAACGTATTCACCCTCAAGAACCTGCCCCTCAACAGCCTTCCAGATATCAATCTCGCCGCCCGTAGAGCTTCCATCCGTAGTTCCTCTTTGCGCAGACATGATTCGTCTTAATGTTTCACGCGCTTGTTCCTCGTCCAAGGCTTCGATATCGACTTCGAGATCCGTGTCCACGACGCAGATGCCGTCTCCTTCGGGAGCGACCTTGTCCACGAGCAACTTGAACTCCTCCCCGCGGGCGCCTTTGACTGCCAGCATTGAACCTTTGCTTAGTGTTGTAAAATTCTCTCGTAATTGTCGCTCGAGTAGTGGTTTCCAGTCATCGGGGTTGTAGCCTGCTTCTAAAGGTCTGAGTCGAACGTACGTGCCCTTAGGAAGTTGCCGCGCCTCGACTTTGATCTGAATGCCGTCTAGGTCCATTTGTTCACTTTCCTGTGCTGTGTCCTGCTCCAGGTCTATCACCTCTTTCGGCGAAACACATTCATCCTCTTGAATGCCCAAAGCCTCCGTTAACCACGGACTCAACCCCAATGTTCCCTCGGACGCCGAAAACTCCCTGATACCTGCAAACACAGCATTCTTGTTCTTCGGATTGACGAGTCGGAATATTAAAGGATTCGGTAGTTGTTGTGCAGTATCAGCATCGCTCGAGGAATATGACCACGGATCTGATCGGGCTGTCGTCGTCGAAGGTCGAGATCGCGCGGCGGCTAGGAGTTGTTCCAGAGCAGATTGTGGAAGAAGAATCTTGTCGCCGCGGAGATTCTTGGCCGCTATCGCAGAGGGACTTATCACGGGTAATGCGCTCGACCAGCGCAGGGGTGCAGGCTCTTCCATGATTGGGCTGCAATGTGTAGAAGTTATGATGTGAGGGTCTACGATGATTTGGTGGGGGTTTGATAAGATGCAATTGCGTAGTGGCGATCAAGCACGAAAAGTCGCAGTCATAAAGTGACAAACAGAGATAGAAACGACAAGATCAATTAAAATTAGTATTATTTTTGCCTGAAATCCAAAATGTCGTCTATACTGACTGAATCACGAGAAATACACTCTCAGCGGCGATGCTCAGTCAGCTATTTCGGTGACGTTCTTCCAGCATCGTCCAGAAGCCAGACGCATCAACGAGCCTTACATAATCGGAAACCCGATCTCCGACGGACTAACAAAACACCGACACTTCGCTTTGACAAGTTGTTCATCTCGTACGCATTCGGTATCAGAGCTGTCATTAGATCTCGCAGATCCGTATTATGAGTTGACTCAAAGCACAGACAATGCCCAGGTCTTAATATCATGGTTAAAATTAGACTACAGACTATTCATCTCTCCCTGTTCGAAACATCCAAGTTTCCGTGCATCTCGCCTCACTATACACGTATGTAGCCAGCAATGTAATGTAATGTTTGCTGTTCAGTGGTGATCATCAGCGTCGCAACGTGGCTTGAACAAGACTACGCGTAATTCAAGCAGACGCGGCACAGAGAATATCACACAGCAGATCCGTCTTGGCAATCTGTATGGCCACAGCGTCGATCGAAACAAACATCTCTTCTTCTTCTCCTTTTGATTCACCGCTCTTACAAGTCCGCGACTGTGAGTGAAACAGAGTTGGTGTTTTGACCCCCACAGAATTTGGCTAAATGCAGCGCAACCTAACCCATCCATGATGGCTGAATTCAACGCGGTCATGATGAGAACCCCGGCAATGCATCCCCGGACCGACGAGATATACAGAGCTTGACACTAGCAATTCCAAGCTTTCTTTGAACTAATTGCCCTGAAAAGATATTCATTTCATCATTACTTAGCTAAGGTTTGTTATCTTGGCAATTTCGGACGCCGAAATGTAGGATCTGCAAAAGACCTGGTATGTTAATCAGGGTAGCTGTACACCTTCTCTCACATCCCAAATGTGACACAGCTCATTTTACCCGTCCAAGGGGGCTCTCTCTTTCGATATACGGCACACAGTTGAGAGAGGACCCCTACACGAACCTACCCATGCTCGCTCATTAGTTAGCTCCCGCCGCAAAGCTCAGCTATTGAATGGTGCGCCTCTCGAGATAAGATCCCCCAACCTTGGTCCTTTTGGTGATGCCATCTTGTCAAGATATCACCAGTCTGACCGATTCGTCTCTCTCTCTCACCTTGGAAGATGCATCCAATCCCCACATCGACTGCTCACACGGGCCGATCCCCCCTCCCTCACCTTCTGCCGTTATTCTGTATCCGGTCCAGCCGGAACGTTTTTTCATGAGTATCTTCGTTTGGTGTTGTTGAGAAAGGTCCCCCCACTTGATCATCCAAGCTTGTCAACTAACAAGCTTGTGTAATGTTATTTGTAGCTTGACTCACAAACGTGCAGCATGTCAAACCCTCCGAGCCACCTGAACTTGGCTCGCCAATCCAATCTCATCTCAGCCCATCTTTGCTATTATCCCGGGCCATGTCATGTCCCCATCCCACCCAAACGGTGCATACAGTATCTGAATCTCCCCCAGACCAAATCTGTTCCCAGTAAATCATTGCCGCTTTGGCCGCTGGCATGACACGGCCCATCCCTCATGTCTTGTCTCAACATGTGTACTCCGTATATAGCTAGCTACCAGTATATATCCTTCACCACCAACCCTCATGACTCCTCCTCTCTTTCTCTATCATTTTCCCCCTTATATCCCCCATTAGCCCTCCTTGCCAGTTGGGCTGCTTCATCATTGAATACCCAATCTTTTGTAATACTCATGCCAGCCTGACATGAGCCAAGTTATCGTCCACCACCAAACGCGCGCAGAGATCACTCAGATCCAAACAAAGGGCTTGACCCTCTTTGACACTCTATACAATTCTCTCGTCCTTCGTCACACTCTTCCCTACCTCCCCGTATCAGGTCTTTTGAACCTCGCCGCAACCTGTCGCGATATTCGCTACCTCCTCCACGAAACGCCCGGTGTCTTTCGTCACATCGACCTTACACGAGTCAAGACAGCGCATTGTGAAGACGCCCATAAAGAAACAGAGCGCAATCTTGCAGTCTGGCATAATGTCACTCTTTCTGACTACCTGACTGAAGATGAGTGAGTTCACCCATTGCTCATTATCCACTATACCCTTGTCCTCTGCGCTGCGACCACTTTAAAACGGCCATTAGCTTACAGGATCCATAGCTTCTACGCCGGGCCCTTGAGGGGCATCTTCTCTACCCTACGACAACGCGATATTCTTCGTGATGTCCAATCTCTAATCCTCGACGGACTCTCCGTCACAGCTGAGCTGTGCCATGAGATCATCAACGATCCGTCATACAGCGTGCGCATGCTCTCGATCCGCGGCGTCAATAACCTGAACCATGGCAAGCTTCGCGCAGCGCTAGCATACGCCTGTCGCAGCTCACGCCCAGAGAACACCCCACGACTCAAAGCAGTCTACGTCTTCGGCCCCATGCCCTGCGATGAAAATTCCCAGGACTCTGCCGATGCTTGGTGGTCTACAAAGGGCCGTGTCCTCAACAGCACCAGCGACATGGACGACTGGGCGCAGTGCCTGGTCGCCTGCCAGGGCCTAATCTCCTTCGACGCAGTGCTCTGCCAGGGTCCTCGCCACGCCAACTCACCGGCCTTCGGGTCCTGCAGCGTCTCCTCGCCGTGCAGCCCAGCGGTCGCTACGTTCTCCGTGGGTGGCTGCGCGGGCTGTGGCAAAGCGCCAGAGGGTGTCATGACGGCTAAGACACACTGCTCTTCGCTGCCGCTACTAGCTCCGCCGCCGATCCTCTCGTCATCCGTGCAGGCTGCCACGACACCGCGCCCGGGACATGAGGAGTTCGTACCGAGGTGTGCTGACTGCTTGAGAGATAGGTTCTGTGTTGCGTGTAACAAGTGGTGGTGTGAGACGTGTTATCACCCTTTTGGTGGTGATGATGTAAAGAGACATGTTTCGCGAAGCTGCTGGGAATGCGGCATCAATGTGCGCAACCTTTACTGTTACTGAAGATGGAAGCTAATTGGTATCTAGTGCAATGACTGTATTGAACGCACGCAAAAGTTTTGCAAAAAGTGCGGCGGCGGATACTGTCTCATTCACAATGAAGGATCATCAAGCGCCTTTGTGAGTCTCCCTAATCTACCACATGACAAAATTCTTACTGACGGTTTCTAGTGCGACTGTATGTTATTCTTATATCAAATCGTTTCAGTCATCTAACTTGCTTCACAGGGTGTTTCTGTCGAGGTCGCGGTCTCAGACGAGTCTGATGCACCACGCATATGACATGTGTCAACCAAGGGCCAGCCGCCAATGCAACCTCACATCTGATCATGGTACAGTAAATGACTTGGCGCATCTACAAGGTCTCTGGAATATGAAATGGAGTCCCCTGAAAGTGGACTGAGCGAGGCGTCATTATGAAGCGTATTCGGATTTTCCACTCTTGGTGTTTTTCTTTGCTGCTTGGTTTGGAGTTGGGGCGTAAAATATGGATTGTGATGAAACTCGACTCTTTTCAGAATACTCACCACTTCTTTGCTTCAATAATTGATAAGGACTGGCTCCTGGAATCATGCCACTTTTCCCGCTCCAATCTTGGATAAGTCGACTCAGCTGAGATATGGCACGATACCATCTCGAACCACTCACTGCACCCCAGTCCTCCCCGCTCGGAGACAAAGTAGATCCGATAGAAACAGGTAATGGAACGGGAATAGAACAAGTTAGTGAATCCACTCATTTTGGGGGTTTCATTTGGGGGTCACGATCTAATCTACCTTGGTTTATTATTATTCCAATGCTGATCGCGCACCTTAAAACTATCTCGCTCCCCTCTCTTCTATACCTCCATTTGAGCTATCAATCTCACATCGTGCGCGTTTGACAGGTCATATCCCTCAAATGGCGCAACCGAATGCGCAAATTACGTACTCGGTCCAATACTTCTCTTTCAGGCTTGGTCTTGTCGGTCCGTCGGGCGGGAAATTCCCTCTCTGTTGATAATGATTCATCATAGAGCGACACAGATACGCTCGCGATCGCGCTTGATGGCGGTAGATCGCTCGATTAGGGGCGACCCTTGAAATTACTAACGGACCCTTGATTTGTTTTCTTTTCTTCCTTTCGTGATAGATATCTTGGCCTCACAGAGAATCTCTTCTCTTCAGTGATTTTCGTCTTGTGATTCTGTGCTTTTTTATCAGATCCCGATAACGCCGAGCCCCTCCACTACCCGAAATCTCCCAACGCCGCAAAAACTAACGGACCCAAGATCCAATCCTCAAGCGCATTCTTTTCACTTCACGATAATATCTCATTCTTGATCATGGCTGACGAAAGAAAACCTCTCTCAGAGGTCATTCCTCCCCTCATCCTCGGAACCGCAACGTTCAACCACCAATACCATCCCGATCCAACTCGCATGCCCTATACCGACATCGTAGGCCGCGCCCTCGCCCACAACATCCTCGGCTTCGATACATCTCCCTATTACGGTCCCTCCGAGATCCTCCTCGGCGATGCGCTGCGGAAATTAACGCCTCCTCCGCCTCGGGAGAACTACTTCCTCATCACGAAAGCTGGGCGCATCGCGGGTGATGAGTTCGATTACTCCCCCGCCTGGATCCGATATAGTGTTTGTCGCAGTCTTGAACGGCTGGGCACTTCGTATCTTGATCTTGTGTACACGCACGATGTGGAGTTTGTTTCGTCCGAGGAGGTCCTTGCTGCTGTTACGGAGCTGCGAAGGTTGAGGGACCAGGGCCTCGTTCGCTATGTCGGAATCAGTGGATACCCAGTTGATACGCTTGCGTCGCTGGCGGAGATGATCTTGCGCGAGACAGGAGAGCCGTTGGACGCTGTTATGTCGTACAGCAACTTCTGCGTGCAGAACAGCCAGCTGGGAAACAAAGCATTGCTAGATCGCTTCCAAGCAGCAGGCGTAGACTGCGTGCCAAACGCCAGCATGCTCGGCATGGGACTGTTAACCACCCGCGGCATCGACAACAGCCCCATGCGCGCATGGCACCCCGCCCCAGAAGAGCTCCGCGACCTATGCGCCAAGCTCTCCAGCATCGCCCAAGACTCAGGCGAGCATCTCGAAGAAGTTGCTATCCGGTGGGCGCTCGAGAACTGGGCGCGCGTAGGCTCACGGTTCGGCACAAAGATCAATCCCAGCGACACAGGCCGTCTTGGTGTAAGCGTCATGGGAGTTTCCAGCGTAGACGAGCTTGAAGAAACATGGGCCCTGTGGACGAGCGTAGTAGGCCTCGTAGGCGATGAAGAAGCGACGCAGCGGAAAGTCAAGATTGAGAGTCTCGTGAGAGAAAAGATGTGGCCTGCGCTTGGGAAGTGGAAGGATTATGCGTGGGGGAGCGGCGGTCCTGAATTTGTGAATGCGAGACGGGTTGAGGATATGGGGGTTGTGCCGAGGGATGAGACGGCGGTGCGGTGGAGGTTGATACCCAGTGCCATGGACACACCCAAGATTTAGATGAGTATTATGAATAGATGATCGTATTCTGTTATAATGAGAGAAGCGAATGACCGAGTTGTTCTTGTGGTTGTGCAGGGCCAAGAGAATAATATGGAGATATGCATCGTATCTCGCATTCAACCATGCTTTAGCGCGACGCCGTCTTACAACTGCCGTGTCGATCATCTAGATCTTGACTCTGAGATTTCTGCATCGAATGACAATGGATCTTAACAGTCCCTTATTTCGTATTTCGTATTTTGGACGCGAATGGATATCGACGGACTTCATGGTGGGCGAAATTGACCGTATAAGAACTTTGTTTTCGTCGGAATGATGAATGGCTAGAGCTACATGAATAGCATTCTCTATTACAAGGCCCCAACCATGAAATTGTCATACTCAATCGTTTCAATTCTGCCTTTGGCGGCTCATTTCATTTCAGCAGAACTGAGATGTCGCCCAGAAGGCGCAGTTCTCCCAAGACCAACAGCCCTCACCAAGTCTCCAATCTTCACAGCTGCAGCCACCAACTTGACTGAGACTCTCAACGCAGCTCTCTCTGGCTCAATCACCGCAGGGTGGCCTACCAGCAATGTCTCCTTCTCACTTGCCGTCGTAAGCGCAGATCAGGACGACCCTGGTGTGCCGATATGGGAGTACCATCACCTCGCAGCCGCCAACACAAAGGGTACAAAGAGGCTGGACAGAGATTCTCAGTACTTAATTGGGTCTATAACAAAGGTTTTTACGGATTATTTGCTCTTGAAGAGCGGTATGGACCTTGATGCACCGGTTACGGAGTATCTTCCGGGACTTGATGGGAAGTCTAAGATTCGGTGGAGGGATGTGAGTTTGAGGATGTTGGCTTCGTACCTGGGTGGTACACCAGCGAACTGTAGGTTTCCTCTGCTACCTAAATACAGCGTATTAATTCGTTTTAGATGGGTTCTCGGACTTCTACTTACTGAAAGAAGTCTTCCTCGCGTATGGTTTTCCCCCGATTGACGACGATGACTATCCAACATGTGGTGTTATAGGTCTCAACAGGGGTTGTACAGGGCAAGGTACGGAGAAAACTCAAGGCAACGACACCTGTATTAATCATGTGCAGATATGCTTTCAGGAATGAGAGAATCTTACCCGCAGACCACTCCCAACGAAAGACCAGCGTACTCCAACATGGCATTTATCCTTCTCGGTATGGCTCTTGAGGAATATACCGGTAATACCTATGCACAGTTACTCGAAGAAGTTGTTTCATGTCCCTTGGATATGAAAGATACTTTCCCTTCACCTGGCGATGATGATAAAGCGGTAATTCCGCCTGGGGACAGCAGCTGGGGCTCAGACTACAAATTGAACACTCCGTAAGTTCATCATGCAAAAGCTGCTTTTCGAGTACTGACTGTCATCAGCGCAGGAGGGTTGGTCTCTTCCCTCTCTGATCTCTCCAAGTTCTCACATGCCCTGCTCTCAAGAACCTTGAACATGACCTCAACTGAGATCAACGGCTGGCTCAAGCCCAACGCCTTTGCCGGCAATGCATACACATTGACGGGCATGCCTTGGGAAATACTACGTCTATCAAACCTCACACCAGACCATCCCCATGCTGTTACTGTCTATGGTAAGAGTGGCGGTGCGCAGAACTACAGAAGTCAACTCAGCTTTGTTGATGACTACGGTTTGGCGATTATCATCTTGACAGCTGGTCCGATGAAGGCGGCGCCTATTCTTACAAATGCTATGCTTTCGACTTTTATTGACGTTGCGGATGAAGTATCGCGTGAGCAGGTAAAGAGATATGAGCAGAGGTATATGAGCGATCACCAAGATGATGTTCCGATTGAGGCAGCACTGGCGCAAGATAATGGCTTGATGATCTTGGCGTCACTTCATCGCAACGGTACAGACGTTCTTTCCAGTATTACAGATATCTGGGGTCTTACACTGGGTGATTTTCTTCCTGGGGTTGGACCCAAGATCCGAGTGTTTCCAAGTCAGCTTCGTAAGAATGCGACATTGGATGGGGAGACTGTTGTGAAGGAGGTGTGGCATTTGTGGCCTGATCTCAACTCGGGATTCGAAACAGGCCTTCCTGGAAATTGGATTGAAGAGATGAATTGTGTTGGGTGGTCGATTCAGGATTGGGTTCATTATGGTGGTGAGCCTCTGGATCGAGTGTTGGTTTATGTTGGTGAGGATGGAGATGTGAGAGGGTTTGAGGTGCCGTTTTTGCGATCGGGAATTCTGCATCCGATCTTAAATGACGAAAGGGCCTAGATAAGTAAGCATGTTTAGAATACCTTTTTCTAGGTCTATTTTAATATCTTTTATTAAAGTCTGATGTTTTCTTGCTCCCTGAGGGTTCCTAAGCCAAATCCCAGAGGGGTAGTGAGCTCCCTCACGCCAAGAGCAAGATGACCGCACATCATGATTTCAACTCATGATGGCTTACGTAACACCCCTCCCATCAAATCAATCCATCGCGTCCAACTCCAAAAACCCATCACCACCTCTCTCATCCCCCAGCTCCCACCATGGCCGGGCCACGCAAATCCAAACCCGCGCCCCCAAAAGGCCCATCAACAACCCTCGTCCTCGACAATGGCGCCTCCACCATAAAAGCCGGCCTCATCCACTCCTCTACGATCCCCTCCGAGCCCCGAATCATCCCCAACGTGATCGCCCGCGACCGCACGCGCAAAGTCTATGTCGCATCCGAGCTAGAAAAGTGTCGCGATTTCGGCGAGATACAGTTCAGACGGCCTGTGGAGAAGGGCTTCATCGTCAATTGGGAGGCGCAGAAGGAGATCTGGGATAGGGAGATTTTCGAGAGGGAGGAGCTTGAGCCTAAGGATGCGAGGCTGATACTCGCTGAGCCGCCGAATGGGCTGCCGATTCTGCAGGCGAATTGTGATCAGATTGTTTTTGAAGAGTATGGCTTTGCGAGTTATTATCGGGGCATAGGTAAGCTGTGCGATGTGTTGTTGGGGTTGGGATGCTGATTGCGACAGGCTCCACGTTTAATGCGTATCACGATGTGCAGAATATCTTTCGAACGCCGCAAGAGGCTCCTACGGTCGCTAATACCCCCGCCGAAGCCGTCATGGTCATCGATTCTGGATACTCGCATACAACCATCACACCAGTGCTTCGCGGCCAACCGTTGCAATCTGCGATCAAACGATTAGATGTCGGCGGCAAGGTTTTGACGAACTACCTCACACGATTGATCTCTCTGCGACACTTCGATATGCGAAACGACACTTACATCGTTAACGAGATGAAAGAGCTATCATGCTACGTCTCCGCCGACTTCAAGGCCGATCTCGAAAAGTCGTGGAAGGGGACAAGGGGCGAACGTCGACCAGATTATCTGTCCGGCGGCGGTATCGCCAAGGATTACATCCTGCCCGATTTCCACACCCGCTTCAAGGGAACTCTCGTCGACTACGATCCCGCGCGACACTCCAAAGCCCGAAAACTAGCAGCCCAATCCGAAGAAGACGCCCTGACCCTCCGTAACGAGCGCTTCGCCGTTCCCGAAATCCTCTTCAACCCCTCCGACGCCGGGATACGCCAACCCGGTCTCGCAGACCTCGTGTACGACTCCCTACAAGAACTGCCCATTGGACTCTGGCCTGCTCTGCTAGCCAACATTATTGTTGTTGGTGGGAACACACATTTTGATGGGTTTATTCAGAGGCTGCAGAAGGAGGTTGTGCAGAGGGTGCCGGATGATTGTATTGTTAGGGTTGCGAGGCCAGCGGATCCGGTGACGCATACCTGGTTTGGGGGTGCGAATCTGGCGTGTCATACGAATATTGAGGGGTTGGCTGTTACGAAGGCGGAGTATGAAGAGCATGGTGCTTCGTGGGTTGCGAAGAAGTTTGCTGCTGGGTTGGGGACGTGAGAGGACGGGGGGGTTGAGGATCTTCTATCAGAGTTGAGCAGTGGCCCTGCTTAGAGGTGCTCTCATCGTGCTTGGTGAGACACTTGCGCAGTTCTCTCACATCTTTGTTGGGAGAACTAGGCGATAGTCCTGCAGGCTGAGACTGGACTTCACATCAAACCGTGCTCATTACACTCCGCCCCGATTGTCAGCAGCACACCCATATCTCCATCTGACGCAAAGTCCAGGCTCAACTGAGTTTGCGATGACAATTGGAACAGGCTAGCTCTACACCCTACGGAGTCCCGTTAAAGGCCCCGTCTGCTGTTTCTGCATCAATATGGCATTGATAGCATGTAACAAGGTTGTCACTAGACGGCTTACACTTCACAAACGTAACGACAGTCGCAAGCAAACAAGCACATTACTGTAACATAGTCTACAACTAATAACAAAACGCCCGCCCATGGTATCACGAATCCCGTCCTTACTCAACATGAATCACAACCTTGCCACCACTAGACCCCTTCTTCAAATGCTCAAAAGCCTTGTCCGCCTCCTTGAACCCAAACGTCGAGTCAATCACAGTCTTGACTTTGCCCTCAACGAGCCAATCCCTCAGCTGATCCAGATCCTTCTTCTTATTTGCAGTGGCATACGTGGCGAACTTTGCCTTTACACCGCCCAGAAACGAAGGTCGCACCAGGTTTGTCGTCAAGCTGAGGACACTCTTGGCTGAGACGTGACCGCCCACGAAGACAAAGCTGCTGCCGGGGAGGAGGAAGTCGTTTGATGAAGCGTAGAGATTGGGCGGTGCGTCACCCACGTTGTCGACGCAGTGGCTAAAGACTTGGCCGCGCTTCTTGAGCTCAGCGATGACATCGCTAGTCTTGTAGTCAATGATATCATCCGCTCCCAAGCTTCTGCACAGATCTGCTTTTCCAGTTGAACACGACACGGTAACAGAGCATCCCAGCGCCTTAGCAATCTGAATGCCCCAGAGTCCAACACCGCCCGAACCACCATTCAAAAACACCTTATCACCACTCTTGACATACGGCGCAATAGTCTGATACGCCGTCAACCCGGCGGTGCCCACACCAGCAGCCTGGTCCAGATCCAAGCTCTCCGGGATAATCGTATACCCCTCCCTATCGCAGACCGTATACTCCGCCAGCGAGCCCCAAACCTTAGTCGGCGACGCTCTAGCGAGCACGAAATCGCCTTCTTTCGCATCAGTCACGTCTTGTGCGACGGAGACAACGTGGCCGCTGAGATCCATGCCTGGGATCTTGGGGAAGGATGTTATCAGGCGCGATGCGACGCCGAGCTCGCAGACTTTGTAGTCGGCGGGGTTGAGGGCTGCGCGGGAGACTTTGACGAGGATCTGGCCGGGCTTGAGGGTTGTTGGTTTGGGGATCGTGGTGAGGCGGAAGACTTTTTCCATTGGGCCTGGATGGGCGACTTGCCATGCTTGCATTTCCGCCATGATTTCTGTGTAATTATGTTGTCGCGTCAAGATACTGAGGAGGGAGGATGAGGCTGTTGATGGAGTTATGAAGGATGAAATCACATGGAATAAAAGTCAATGACATGCGATATGATATACCTTAAGTATCAATGACGTCTTTTGGGAAGCGGCGAAAATAAAAATTGTCAAGAGTCTAGTGGAGATGCCTCGGCTCATGAGTCGGACGAAAGACCAGAAAGGTTATCAGCCCGATCATTATGGAGGTATTTATATACAGCGTATCATTTAAAGTTTGCTATTCAACGCTGGGAGGGCATTATTACGCTCGTTGCATTCATGTCATTCGATCATGTTCAATCCCCTTGTGATGGTCCTAGGGCGTCAGATGAATAATCACGATCGACTACGGAATCAAATAACAACCGTCGAGGGGATTGTTGCGGGTAGAGTTTTTCGTATTGGGTTGCATTGGCGGAGATTGAAGCTTCGAGGGGGTTCGAGGGCGGAGTTTTTGTGTCTGCGGAGTTTGAAGAGATACATCGAGGTTGGACTACCAATTCTCAAGATATGGTCTGTATTCAATTTGGTGATGTTTTGAAGCATTATGCAACTCATACCACTTGGTGAGCTTGCGCTCTTCCAACAACCTCTGGTCGATGCATTTTCCCAATATCCGCAAGGGTTCAATCGCGAATCTCGAGTCAAACTGCATCGCCATCGTGTATAAAAATTGACACTCGTCAACAGTAACCGTTGACACGGCCCAGCCCGAGGTCGGTCCGCTCGTACCCAGCCTGCTGGTTGATGGCTTCAGACCCAGGATAACGGTACACACCCAGCGCCGTGTTCGTGAAGGCGGCGGTTTATAGCCGCTGCTTCAGAAACGGCGTGGGGTGGTCATGATCGGGGATCTCACAATCTTGATGGGGAGATAAGATCATGGTGTATGAATGGTCGTGGCTTGAGGCATCGTGAATGGCGCCGCGATCGAGGTTGGTGATGGCGACATCCTCAGAGAGCGGTCGCCGAAGCAGTAAAAAGAAACGGGCGCGCGTTCATTGCCCGAGATCGCATCCACTGCTGCGCGCAGTTTTGTCTGTAGAAAGTCAGTTCTTGAATGATGAAAGGTAATAGAAGCTGTCCAATGAGGCTACTGGTGCAACAGCTGCATGAGACAACTTATCGAGTCGCGATACCGGAGCTATTGAACGAGCTCCATCTGTGCGAGATCGGGCTCGACATCGATGAATTGATCATCATTTCTGGTGACTGTGGATGACAGATTTCGCTTCTAGTCAGAAGCTGGAGTCCGATCGATGATGCTTACTCACAACCCCAGATCCCCACGAAAACCCAACCCTGCAGATCTAGGGTAACTTGTAGCAATCACATTTCATCAGTAACAATAATCGCCAAACCGTTGCATTGTCACGGATCGTCGCTTTTTTCGTATGTTACCCTATAAAATCTAGAGATCTTCATCTAGCCATGTCAAAGCGGCGGTCGCCATTCATGATATGATGGGATTTTCGCATGCACACATTTGACCGTTGGCAAAACACACGACACATACATGCAGCTTGTAGCATCGAATTATCGTTCAGACCAAGCCGGAAAGAGCACGGAGCTCACTATCACGAGACCTTGTAGCTGATATAAAACAGGAAATAGATATACAGTGCATCTGGGTAGAGCTGACGATCTTGGCGCGCCAAGGGAGAAGTCAATTCTATGGCTGAAAGCATAATTGTAACTCTACTGCTATGCTACCCTTTCTTTCCTACGGAAGTACTCTACTGATTGTTACCCTATGGACCCATGAATCTGATTCTGATACTCGACACGGTATTGGACAGTTGCTGGTGAGTCAGTGACGGATGTCTTGGCCGTCTGAACCGAGACTGATTCAACGTTGCGTTTGACATTTAAAGCAAATAGACGAATCATGGACAGCAGATGGAATGTTGCGGGGAAGAAACGAGATGGGATGGGATGGGATGGTGTGGATGGGATGTGGCAGCGTCGATCAGCAGGCGTGGACCAGCATCTGAGACAAAGTGATGGTTGTCCTGGGTAATCATTACAATTGAGACAGGTTCAAAAATCTAGAACGAATCATCCCAATTTGCAGAGAGGATCAGTGCCGTCAGAGGCTTTCAACTAAGAGGTTAGCTGAACAAGTCTGATGACTTGCTGGAATCCAACGCCACGACTGATGAGTGAGCAAAAACGAACGATGCGGGAGAAGGCTGCATTCGGAATACACATCCGCGTGTTCGGAAAGACGGCTATTTAGAAATTCTCGGCCGAGTATTCTAAATAACCATAGTTTATACAGAATAAGAAAATTCTTTCTTTTTTCTCCAGTCACGAGGAACCCCGGAGTTAGGCGTATTTTAATGAAGCTGGGGGAATCTGACACGATGGCTTCAGAGTGAGTCCGGCCGAGGACCCACTTGGATCAGAGGCCAATTGATGTGAGCCCAGGGGTAGAGTAGGTCTCTTCGGCAAAGCTCAGGGAGAACTTCAAGACTCCAGTTTATATGGAGTTGGTATTTGCTTGGTCAACATTACTCTATCTCAATTATCTGGTGTCTGTTCTCGTGACCCCATATTATGGAAGGGTCGAGTTAATACAATGGATCGACTCCGAGGCCACGGTTCAGATCATGTGGTTGAAGCATCGCATCTACCTTACCTCCCTCCCTATACCAGTATCTCGGTGCAATATCAAGTGTAACTTCACTCCGCCGCTGACCTGCTTTATCTCCAATACCAGATGGTAAATGCACCAATACAAGATGGGTAACTAATTTACAGAGCCCAACACCAAGGTGGTAATTGCGGCTGTTCAAATCCAGTATGTAATGCTTTCCATAAAATACTAGACCCATTCGCGGCAACCGTTTACGGCTCGTGTGAGAGCGTTCCTTTGAGTTCTCTTACGGAAGAAAACGCTCTACGTATTACCAAGATCGAACCGCGCACCCCTGCTTGCTCTTGAGTGGTGCGTCCTGGCCCTTGACGTTTCGGGCCGGAAATTATGCATGACCGTGACGATTCGCGGTGCTCGTGACGATAGTGGCTTGTTCTTCCTTCACCAACATCACATTTGATCAAAGTATCTAATTATCAGCTGTGAAAAGAAGTTCTAAAGGATTCAATCAGTCCTCGGTGAAACGGCGATTCTCCCCGCAGCGTTCGCTTGGGCTGAAAATCCGGAGATTCTGGGGTCAGATGCATGCCACTACAAGGCATCTCGGTCGCCGACTCGGAGGCACTCGTTGACACTTTTCTCTGGGGGAAACCCATCAATTCCCCAGACCAGAACCAGAAAAAAAGTGAGGTCTCATGAGTGGGAAGGGGAGAACGCTATTACCCCAAAGTATTGGGTTGCGCGGTGGTGAGCTCGGTCAATTACAACCCATCCATGCAGTCGGAGCAGCAGGGGCGTAGCGTCTCGAGTACCACCGAGAGTCGCCCGTGGGACCCCTTTTTTGTATTGTATTCCCTTTCTGCTGGGTACTGCAACTGTCTTTTACTGGGTGCAGCTTGTAGAAGTGTGGTTGAATTTCCCCGCGTCGGGCTTCTGGAGGGCTGCGAGAGACTGCCGATTACTGGCTGAAGCTTGAAGAGTGTGTGTGTGATGGGAAACGTTAGCATGGCATTGTTGCAGATCTGGTTACAGTGATCAGCATCAAGATAGGCTTCATTCAACCTCGCAATTCAAAATCTACTATACATTTACTGAGCTAATCTCCAAATTAATTCTTTTTTCGTAATCGTTACCACGATGCCATTCTTCCCATGGGTTATACCGCCAGCTTGGTTAACCCTCTTTCCAATAAAGTCCGTTCCCGTCTGACTCGAATAGATTCCCACGCTCTAGAACAACTTCCCTTCTCTCGTAGAAGGTCCCGTGATGGAAGAACAAGCTCGCACGCGCGCAAGGAAATAAACGGCCGGGCGATTACTCGGCGCTTCTCCCTGTAGACCCAGGCCCGTTAACGTTATGGGGTCTCCAACCGCCGCCCCCTCCACTGAAAAACCACGGGCAAGGTAACTGTTGGGTCCTTTTTCTTTTTTCTGTTCGGCCTTACTTCGTAGCACGCCCTCAGCAAAGACCCACGAGATTCCCCAGACCAGCCCAGATCAAGATATTGGAGCGCGTCAAGTTTTTCTTTTCTTTTCGTGATGGATGATTTTTTTTAATTAATTGAGTGAGATCGAAATGCACGTGTGCTTGTGAGACGGTGACATGTTCACCACATGATTTAATTGTGGTACAGAAAAGTCTTGGGCTTGGTGAGGCGGTAGACGGGTATCTGATTAACTGTCACTGATTAGGTTGTTTGTTGACGATGCTGTTCATTCAGTGTCATTTATATGGAATGCATGCATTTTCACTTAGACGCCCGAAAATCGAATCGTCAAAGTTTCTCCGTGTTTTTGCCATGTTTTTCCTACCCGCACCCCACTACCCGAACCTCATGGCATGGCATTCTTCTGCGGCCGCCTCCGCACTTTTGCTTAAGGCCCAGGGGGCGTGCACACAGCGTGGCAGCCCCTCCCCCCCTGTTCCCCCATTTACCGTGCCCCATGGGCCCCCGGGACCATTTTTAGTGTCTGGCCCCCCCTAACCAACTACGCTACTCGCAAAGCTCCGAGGTCATGGGCACTGTCGCGCCAAAGAAACTGTAGACGCGCGAGAAGTGGTAGGATCAGAGGAAGAATCTGGATGCTCGTGAACGGCCGATGGTTGCCAAGTTTACCTTAGTTACCCGAGTAGGCAACTTGTAACCTTGCTGCACCCCCCTTGTAGGTAGTTGTACCACTTGTGAGGAGTCAGGTCCTTGACCTTGTTTGGATTAGCTGCGATGGGTTGGGCCAGCTTACAGCAGTGTCAAGGTGCATTGGCATGGCATGGCATGGTAGCTCTCATCGGTTCTGGTCTGGTTTGGTAACAGAAAGACACACGAACTGCAGGCACATCTTCAGTTTGCCGTCTGAGATTAAATAGACCCTGTTCCCCCCTCCCTCGTACAGACTCTCTCCTCCTCATCACAGCTCATCACTTCAACAACACAGCTTGTTTCACATCCTCTCTCCTCCTGTGATTGACTTCACACAAATAAATACCCTTCCCCCCCTCATTCAATCTTCTTCTGCCTGGTTCACAAAAAATAATACAAAACCTCAAAATGGGCGTTGAAGATCACAACGAGGAGCGCCGCGGCTCCGTCGCCCTCCAGACTGCCGACAATGTCGAGCAGATCGAGGCCCCCGTCACCTGGAAGGCCTACCTGATGTGCGCTTTCGCGTCGTTTGGTGGTATCTTCTTCGGCTACGATTCCGGATACATCAACGGTGTCAACGGCTCCAAGTACTTCATCCACCAGGTCGAGGGCGCTGGTGCCGACAGCCTCAGCGAGAGCCATACCTCTCTCATCACCTCTATCCTCTCCTGCGGTACCTTCTTTGGTGCCCTCATCGCTGGTGATCTTGCCGACCGCATCGGTCGCAAGTGGACTGTCATTATTGGTTGCTTTATCTACGCTATTGGTGTCGTTATTCAGATGATTACTGGTCATGGTGATGCTCTTGCTTGCATCGTCGTCGGTCGTCTCATTGCCGGTGTCGGTGTCGGTTTCGAGTCTGCCATTGTCATTCTGTACATGTCTGAGATTGTAAGTCCAATTCCTCTTCACACTCACTGCCTTGACAACACCATGCTAACAGCTTCATCAGTGCCCCAAGAAGGTTCGCGGTGCCCTCGTCGCCGGCTACCAATTCTGCATCACCATCGGTCTCCTCCTCGCTTCCTGCGTCGTCTACGGAACCGAGAACTTCGACAGCATGAAGTCCTACCAGATCCCCATCGGTCTCCAGTTCCCCTGGGCCGTCATCCTCGGCGGTGGTCTCTTCTTCCTCCCCGACTCTCCCCGATACTTTGTCAAGCGTGGCCGCATCGAAGACGCCATCGACGCCCTGTCCAGAGTCCGAGGTCAGCCCAAGGACTCCAAGTATGTCCAGTCTGAGATCGCCGAGATCGTCGCCAACGAGGAGTACGAGCGCCAGATCATTCCCTCTACTACTTTCATCGGCAGCTGGGCCAACTGCTTCAAGGGCAGCCTCTGGGATGGCAAGTCTAACCTCCGCCGAACTATCCTCGGTACTTCTATGCAGATGATGCAGCAATGGTAAGCTTCCTCGTCATCGTCAGAACCTGATCACCACTAACAATAACCAGGACCGGTGTCAACTTCATCTTCTACTACTCTACTCCCTTCCTCCAGTCCACTGGTGCTATCAAGAACGTCTTCCTCATCTCTCTCGTCTTCACCCTCGTCAACGTCTGCTCTACTCCTCTCTCCTTCTGGACTGTTGAGCGATTCGGCCGCCGAAGCATCCTCCTCATCGGTGCCTTTGGTATGCTTGTCTGCCAGTTCATCGTTGCCATCATTGGTGTCACTATCGGCTTCAACCACACTCACGCTTCTCCCACCGCTGATGAGCCCGACCGCATGATCGCCAACAACATCAGCGCCGTCAACGCCCAGATCGCTTTCATCGCCATCTTCATCTTCTGGTTCGCCTCCACCTGGGGCCCTGGTGCCTGGATCGTCATCGGCGAGATCTTCCCCATCCCCATCCGATCTCGTGGTGTCGGTCTCTCCACCGCCTCCAACTGGCTCTGGAACACCATCATCGCCGTTATCACCCCCTACATGGTCGGTACCAACCGTGGCAACCTCAAGTCCTCCGTCTTCTTCATCTGGGGCGGTCTTTGCACCTGCGCCTTCGTCTACACCTACTTCCTCGTCCCCGAGACCAAGGGTCTGTCTCTCGAGCAGGTTGATAAGATGATGGAGGAGACCACTCCCCGAACCTCTGCTAAGTGGCGACCTCACACCACCTTTGCCCAGACCATGGGTGCTGGTGATATCAAGCACGTCCCCAAGACTGAGCACGAGGACCACGTCTAAAGATTATGAGTCTTTTTAATTAACAGTTGCTGCTATTGACGAGGAGGTTGTCTCTTTTTTATTATACCTGAAAGCTGGAGGGTCACGGTGGTGATCTGGGGAGGAGAAAGTACATGAGCATAATGTGTAGATATCAGAAACAGACTGAATATCGATTCAACTTTATCAACTACCTTTGCCTTTGTGATGTTTCTTGCTTTTGATTTCTAAACTTTCGTATCTTATTCACATTGTTGCACTTGATCCTCGTTTCTGGTTCCTCAGTTGTCGACTTACATGTTAACTACCTAGTTACTGCCCCGACATCGCAATAGCAACAACAGCAATCCATAATGCTATCTCGTTCCTCCAGCGCTCAATTGGCCCAACGGACGCCATCGACGGGAACTTGAATAAGCCTTCCGGCATTGAAATCATCATACCGCGACAACACAGAAGCTACTCCTCAAATATTCCTCACTTCAGGCAGTCGAGCCGCAGTAACAACACCCCCATCAACGGAGACTTGCAGGACTGCAGATCAAGAAATCAATCCCAACAGTATATACAGTGTAAAGTCTACTATTCTGAAGTTCAAATAAACTCATTTGGGTGTGTGGAAACTATCTTGTGGTGCGTTCGGATGACCCGGATAGATCCAGCCAAACGGATGCTTCGGGCGTCAAGATTGGATCAAGATATGCCCAAGGAACGAAAGTATATGGAGCGCGAGATGCGACGGGTTTTAGTCGGTCTTGACCAGGTGATCTGTGCTTGCTGATACTGGAGGATTACGAGATTGTTGGTTTTCAGAGTTGGTGATAGAGTCATGACATGCAGACCCATGCGAGAACTGGAAAGAAGATTTACAGAATTTTTTTCTTGGTTCGGTCATCCGTTGGAAAAGGATGTCTGAAAAATCGGCTCACAAATATAGACTGCTCAGTTAGTTGATTGTCCGTGGATAATTACTGCTGGCCTCGTGGAGATGAGCAACACAAACATCTGCAACTACTGGTCTCTATACGAAGGATTCGGAACATGAAGACTATGATAGTTTGAAATCCAATAGAGGATAAAGGAGGATAAAGAAGGGAAACAAGAAAGCTCAGGCCTCGACCACAAGCGACGAACAGACTTGGGTGAGTATAGTCTATCTTCAGGAGGCACCTACTGCTTTTGAAACACTGATCTCAAGCCTGATGGTGCTTTCTTTCTTACTAGTTAAGGGAAATAAAGTACATTCCGTGATCTGGAACTGGTAGATTACCTGTCGTATCTTCTCAACCAATCAAGGAGTGCATATATAATGGCAGCTTCATAACTCTTGGGCATGAACTTCAAGTTTACGCAACGTCATATTTCATAATTCATGGAAACTCTGTCAACAAAGCCTCAAAAGCCTGCATCAAATCTCCTTTCAAATCCTCCAGGTCCTCCACACCCGTGCTAATCCTCAACATCCTCTGATCCTCCCCACGGCTCGACATAGCACGCCACTCACACAAGCTCTCAACACCGCCTAAGCTAGTAGCATGCTGAAAGATGAACAGCTTGCTCGGTAACCGCTTCGCATGCTCTGGGTTCTTCAGCCATAGACTGAACACGGGGCTGTGACCACCTGGCATTTGTCCCTTCAGCCACTCCGCATCATGTTGGATGGATGAATGTGCAATCTTGTGGACTATACGGCCGATGACGGATGATGAGTCTGCAAGACCGGTGTTGAGCCATGATACCAATGCTTCGGCGGTTTGGGACTGACGCATCACTCGTAGGTGAAGAGTTCGCAGTGATCGAATGCCCAGCCAACCCTCCAGACTTCCCATGACGTTGCCTAGCACCATTCGTTCATCCCTCAATGTCTGCTCCAACCCGGACTTAACTTGCTGCGGAGAAACAATGACAATACCACAGAGCATATCAGAGTGACCCCCGATATACTTCGTCCCACTATGCATGACCAAATCCGCGCCAAACAGGATCGGATCCTGCAAAGGCGGCGGCGCAAGCGTAGCATCAACCGTGAGCAGCGCCCCCGCCTCTTTAGCCTTCTTACTAAAGAACGCAAGATTTCTCGCTTCACCTGTTGGGTTCAGTGGTGTTTCGATATGGATCATATCCCCTGGCCCCGCTTGATCGAGATCATCAAGAGAAAGCTTCTTGAGACCGTTGAGCTTGGTCATGAGCTCGATTACAGCGTGGACACCGTGATAGCCATCGGAAATAAAGATTTTCTTGGGGTTGATGGCGATCAGCATTGAGTGGAAAGCTGCGACGCCGCAGGAGTATGACACAACCGGGTTTTTGAAGAGGGTCTTGAGGACGATTTCTAATCTGCTGTAGTTGGGGGCTGTGTAGCGAGAGTAGACGTGTGAGTCGAATGGAGCATTTGGCTATCAATGTTAGTATTTTTGAGTAAGGGTGAGGAGGGTAAGTACATCGTCGTTTTCCATCTCAACGAGATCATCGGGGTTGCGGGCATAGCGATAATTCACAGCCGAGTGAAGAGCCGGGGCGATGGCCCGGTGCGGACTGACAAAGTCATCTGCGTGGACTGCTTGAGTTGAGAAGTGGAATTTGGGCAGGGCTTCGGAGTGAGCTTCTGCTGTGAGGACGAAGTTGTTGGATGCCATATTGAAGGTATCTGTTGATGTTCCGGTGATATCGGGATCCTCTTTGTCGCTCAAGGAGATTACTGACTCTTTTATAATATTTCATTTTTTCCGGATCTCGGTCGGATCGTCGGCCGGTATATAGATATCTACTATGTTATCTTGTCAAAATGGCTGCGAGCTAATGTCATGACATTGAAAAGGGCGCACAAGTCTCTCGGTCCGACACCGGAGTTCGGTATCATGATGTTTCTCCCACTCAACACTCGCAATTTGATAAGACAAAAACATAGTAAACTCTGCCCAGTGGATCCGGAGATCTTATTACATAACTATCCAATTACTCATTGAATAAATTGCGGCCCAGAGATACCAGGTATCCAGTGACCCTCAGCTAACCTAGAGGTTAGACCTCAAGACCTCCAGCTCTGCCTTTGCCTTAGTATACAACTCCTTGAAAACCAGATCTTCTGAAATCGCCATGAGTCAGCACGATGACAAAATGGTCTACAAAAAAGGAAAAACGGCACAGAACATTCCATATTGTCCAAGGAAAAGATTCGCGATTTAAAATCAGCCTGCAGATTGTACTCGATCAAATACACAATGGAGGAGAAGCCATGGGCAAGCATGAGCATCTGTTCCTTGACGTAGTTTTCCAATAGTTTCTCTTCTTTCATCGAGAAGTATTTGCTCGACTGAAACCCGTTTTCCTCCATCATCTCCAGGTCTTCCGGTTTGAATCTGAAGACTCCGGCCCCGAATTGTCGGGAGCTCGTGGACACGTCCCAGAGAATGGGGTTGTTGTAATCGATGCAGCATATATCTAACGTGCCAGTGATTTTAGTCTCGGGGCTAGTGAACTTGCGCTCAGCTAGGGAGAACTTTTGCTAGGCCGCTTTGTATCTGTGCTCCCTGTCAGCAGCCAGATACCAAAGTGAGTCAACTTGCCTTACCTTGTCATGAGGGAGTTGGTCTCGGATGTCCCAAAGACCAAGTTTTCGAAGTTCTGGCTTGTGGAGAACCCTTCTGGACCGCCGTCACTGTTAATCTCTCCTCAGGCAAATAATGCCTCCCCAGGCAAAGACTGAGGATTGACACCTAAGTCGCAAACGTCATTGGTGGCGAGCCTTGCGTCGTATGCAACAACATATCGATGCTTGCAATCATTCAGAGAATAAAAACTTAGGTAACTTGGCATAATTTAGGATAACTTTTGCTAAGTTTGCCTAAACATCCTACATCAAGGTCTGATGTTTTCTTCTTTCCCAAGGCATGCCAACCTGACTTGAGGAGTAACCTCACATACCGGACTCGGGGTTAAGGTTCACACAGAAGTCAAGGCGCATGCTCAATGATAAACTTGACAATCAATCGCAAGGACTCAAGAGTTTGGAATTAAAAGGATAATCGGAGAACAACTAAACCACCTCTCACAGTTTTACCTTGGGATCCTCCTCAGCAGGTCCTTTGCCCTCGGTATCATCATCCTTGATAGCCATGAACTCTCCGGGGCAATATGTAGCAGCCCACATTTGCGCCAGCATCTTCTGATCGCTATTCTTGAGATAGTAGTTGATGGGAATACCAAATGTCCCTGTGTAGCCTTTCCCAAATAATCCTCCAGGGCTTTTATCATGGAGTTTACATCAAGAACCTTGATCTTTTCCCCGTCAATAGTCGCCAGAGCACTCAATGAAGCCTCGGTCTTCTTGCCCTGCATCTCAGATGCTTGGCCAGTCGTTAGTAAAGCTTCAGCCATGGACTAAACGGAAGATAGATCTGACGAGACTCCATTCTGCATAGCAGCAACATTTGCCATGTTGGAACTAGGGTCAAACTCGTTGAACTTGCTGACGGCGGTTGCGATGTCGTGGGCTATCATTGAGGGGATAACACCCATTGACAGGACCGTGACGTGAGATTTGATGTTCTGCTGACTGAGGAGATTCTTCACGTTGCTGGCGAAGTTGGAGTCTATGCCGACTTTACCCTCTGACTTGGCGAACCAAGCACCAACGTTCATTGTGGGCTGCATCTGTGAGGCAGTAGCCTCCATGGACTCGGAAGCAGTCGAGGACGTCGTGTTAAGCACCTGGACCATGCCAACGAAGCTAGATCCATAGGCAACGCCCGAGATAATGGAGAACTTCTCCTTATCCTCCTGGCTCCCGTTCATCGGGCAATTCATCATGCTTAATCCACTGGTGGAATCCAACTTGCTCCCAGGAAAGAGATGATTCCAGACCTTGATAGCCTTATCGACGTGTAGCACGAAAGACGATACGATCGAAGCGTTTTTGTGAGGGCAACTCACAGATAAAACAAGTGTGACCTAAATACTGTGTGAACTGACCTGACGACTGACCTGTCGACAGGCGGAATTTCCAATCCTCATCGACTGTTTCGCCCCGAACACACTACTCACAGTCCCAGACACATACGACGCAATTTGCGCGCTATGAGCCGCAGAATTCTGCGAATTCGAATCAAACGAGAAATACTGAACATCCATGTTCATCGTATTATTCGCCAGCGTACTGGTTCTGATCTCACAGCGCAGATAATCAACAGGACTCTCGATCTGCTTGTGCACAGAGTGGATGTCCTTTCTTATAGCGGTGATATTCGGCCCAGAAGCCATTTTGGCAGTGACGTAAGCGCCTGCTGCCGCTTCGACTGCAATGTTGAGCTTCTTGCGCTCTTCGTCGAGAGAGTCGGTGCCGACGCCGAGGTTTTTGAGCTCGGTTTTCCAAAGATGCCCAAAGTCTGACTCACGCCCGTCAAATCATGTAAGGCGCGTGATGTGAGCATCAGCAGTGGGAGGGTCTATCAAGTGATCGAAACACATGTGACACTATTGGACAGCGGCTCCCAGGCTATAGGGAGAGATTCTTAGGTACATGTTCCTAAATTCTCTTTCTGACAGCGACATGAGAGATTTATTGGGGCTTTAAGAAATAACTTGTTTTAACAAGATAGGAGCCGACTTAGCACTGATAAGTTTTTACAATGTCTTGGTCTTGACGTCACGTAATGGTTCTTGAGTGGTAACAACACATTCAACAATACCATGTCTCAAAAATGGCTTCCTTCACTAGAGGTCAAGAAGTATCTACTATATGAATGAAGACGAGGCATTGAAAAAGTTCCAAGTGCAGTTCGGCGTGTAAAACTCGTGCCTGGTACGAAAGCGGTACAACTAAGACTGACTAATCTCTTTGCCACTGCATATTCCCATGTCTTGGTTGCTACCTTGGACAAGTTAGCATTACAAAAAGTCCACATGGTAAGGAAGACTTGGCTGACCTCAACTCGTCGCTGGTAGCTTACTTGGCAAGGGCAGTCTTGATCTCGACGTGCTTAACAGCTCTCATTTCCTGACCCAGGGCAGCGGCACGACCGGGGAAGTCACAGTCCGAGCCCTGATCCTCGCAGCACCTGTCGAATCCACTGAGATGCTCAGATATGGAACTAGCTTTGCAGTCATTACCAGAGTAAACACCATGGTAATCGTTACAGCACTTGTGAGTTGCGCCGTTGTTGAGATTGCCATTAGTTCCGTAGCACTTGCAGGCCTCCCCAGAGGAAGAGAACAAGCCAGCGATGCTGGGAACAACGAACTTGGAGAGTTACATGTTGGTAGAGGAGAAGAAGAAGAAGAAGAAGAAGAAGAAGAAGAAGGAGAGGAGGGTAAAATATTTGATAAAAAGGTTCTGAGGCGAGAAGATGATTGTTAGTTGATCCTGAGAGCGCTGAAGAGAAGGCTCAAAGGGGCCTTTTATACACTTGTCTGCATCGTTTCTTCCGTCTTTATCATAGTATCGTCTACTGGCCAGAGTACAGGCAGTTGGCTTTGTTGGTACCGACCACATAGCTGGTTTAGTACATTGTTGGTTCAGTGACTGTATTGCCTGTTGGTTGTGACCGTGATCGTGCAGATTTACAACAAAGGCCTCAAGGGTTGTCGGGACTAATGAACCAAGAAATCTGGATGATTTACATAGTATATTGTTTGAAAGTCCATGAGCTACTCAACGGAATCTGATATCCATCACACTCATGTTTTCTCCCCTCCAGTAATGCCGCATCCTATTCTCTCAAAAATAATCACAAACACAAAGGAGATTTCTTGCAGGAAGAGGGCCTCTTGGTTGCGACGTTCCCTGGCCCTCAGAGAGCAACCGTGGGACTAATTACTAGCCGCAATAATAAGCTTTAGCTTGAATATCAGCTTTGCAGATCAAACCTTGAACCCTGTAGACTTGGTCCCAAGCCAGAATGTCCAGCCCTCGGGGGGAAATAAAAGACGGGCCTGGAGACTAACTATTCTATAAGGACATCTACTAATTGCTTATTGTAATAAAGAGTATATAATATAGAAATATCACTATTAAATAGAGGAAATCTCAGTAATAATTATTATATATATATCTATATAAGAATAAATATATTGTATTTTATTATATATAATAAAAGTAATCTTATCAAAGTATTCAGGGCCTGTATTTTATCCCCCCCCTAGCCAGCCCATGATGAAGGTTCCCCAGTCCGGCTGTTTCGGCAACGAACAAATATGATATGCAAGTAAAGATGCAGTTGAGAAGCAAAAAGAAAAGCTTAACTGGGATATTGAGGGAACGCTCCAATCGGACCAGCGCAGACTGATAGCTCCAATGAAAGCCCCTGTACAACAGGCGAATCTGATTGGATTTCCCAATACGGCCCGTACCTTAGACGAAGGTATTCGAACTTTTATCAGACCATGTCTTAGTTGCAGGGCACAACCAACACAGTTTAGCCCACATTGGAGACATCCGGAGTCCCCAATTGGCGCTTCTTCCTCGCTATGACTACAGAGAAGCACTCAACCAACACAACTCAGTACTTTTGAGGACTAAAAGTTCCAGACATTTGACAGAACCAACAGCGTCCGTGACACGAGCTTCTCACTACTGTAATTGGATGCTCACGGCATTTCGTTGCCGTGAGCTGAATGCACATCTAAATGACACCTCATTACTGTTCAATCTGTTCTACAGTCAACACTCGTTCTTTGAGCCATTTTGTAAACTCTTTGATACAAATCCGCAATGCCATTTGGCTCATCTGTGTATGCACGAGTACGACTAGCTAGGTTCCCTCCAGAACCCCCCTTCAACAATGATCATCCCACGAGACTTTGACAGTAACCCGCAAACTTCAATTGCGTTGTCTTTGCTTCTCACAGTAGCAACAAGCTACCTCTTCCACCGAGAGGACGAGCTCTTGTCGGAGATTATTTGTTGGGCATGCTTACCGATGATATTTGGGGCCAATACCTTGATAGCACATGCCCGTGTAGATTCACCGACCAGACCCGAGACTCGGCATACTCTTCCCTCGGTATTGCCACTGTGGGCTGTTGCGGGTTGTCTTTCCATCGTATCCGGATGTCGAGCTGAGGCCGACAGCTACAAGCTCTTAGTATGTTTAACAGCATACCCTGAAAGAAGCTGATGCTCACAGAAATGCGTAGCCTGTACTGACCCCCTTGCTCCTTTGGACGGAGAGGGGCCTGAGTCGTAGCGCTCGGGGGCGCGAGACCACGGACAATTCAAAGTTAGCCCCCTTGTGCAGTAAGCTCTGGTTAGCAGCACTCGTTGCAGCTCTTTTGGCATTGGTTCTGATTGACTGGAATTACTCTGGGCTTGCGCCTTCTGGAGTTGCGACTGGCGCCTCTTTCATCGCCTATGTTTCCTTTCAATCAAGACCAAGGGGCGGCCGCTCCTTACCTGACCTGAATCCCTTCGAGGAGCATGTCTACTCTCTTGCACCAAGAGTGACTGGACTCCTTTTAGTTGGTAGTATTGCCAGAGTATCCATCTTTGGTCTTCCACGTATTAGTCCCTTAAACGCATTATTTCTGGGACTGGTAAAGGCACTTTCCTGGCGATGTGTTGCCAGCGCTGTATGTTGACCGTTTCCTCTCCATTAATCTATGGCCTTCTAACTTCCAAGTCAAGGCTCGTCACACGTCATGGGCTCTTCCGACTATGATGGCCACATTTGGTCTTCTAGCAACGCGCGATCCGTTCGAGTTCACATTTGAGAGCCAGGCATTGTTTAACGCTATATCTGCCTTGCTTTGCCTTGGCCAGATTGCTGGTTTCGTCCCAAGACAGATACGCCCAACGCGATTCTTGTGTTCCTGCATTACGCTACCGATAATACCCTATGTAGCCAATATCATGGCTATTTGTCACGTTCGAACCGACGCTCGAACCTTCACCGCGGAGACACCACATCCAGTCATGGCCCTGTACAATAAAGCACTGAATGAGTTCGAGAATCAATCTAGAAGGCAATCCAGGACCTTCGAGGCCGCGTCGCATAGCTATCAGACCAAATATGGTATAGAGCCGCCACAAGGCTTTAAGGAATGGTACGACGCTGCACGCTCCAACGATTCACCATTGGTCGATGCGTTCGACTCCTTGTATCAGACAATATCGCCGTTCTGGAGGGTAAGCGGCAGTCAGGTCCTCGATGCCATGCATCAAGCGAAAACCCTTCCTGGAAGCGATTTGTGGCTTTGCACATTCTCAGGCACATCTTCGACAGCAAAATGCAGTCACTCCCATCGTACTTTTGACAGGCATATCACGCGAATGTTCAACAATATCTTGGCCAATTTCACTGGGCTTCCTGATGTGACATTTCTTGTCAATCACATCGATGAACCTCGTGTTATCTATCAGCCTTCTCCCGAAGCATCTGCCCCTCATGACCTCAGGATAACTGTGGGAGATCGTAGTCGACAACCTATATGGGACTCGTTGACCAAGAGCTGTGGCCCTGAGAGAGAAGTAGAAGTCCAAGACAACATCAATACCTTGGGCATCCCATTCGTGACCAACACCTCCTTAACCCAAGATCTCTGTCAACACCCAGAATACAGCGCCTCACATGGTTTCATGATAAGCCCCGTCTCGTTTCGTCCGATCCATGGCCTGGTTCCTATCTTCTCGACTGGCAAACTATCCACAATGAGTGACATTCTCATTCCGAGCCCAGCGTATATTGAGCAAGAATTCATTTACGACGAGTCAAGAGATGTTGATTGGGGCCGAAAAAGAAATAACCTCTACTGGGCTGGCTCGACTACAGGTGGGTTCGCGCTTGATACCCACTGGCAGCTTTTCCATCGACAACGATTTGTCGAACTCACACAGAATCTAAGAGCGACCAAATGTTATCACTACCTACGAATGAAGGATGGTGTCGCGCAGAAAGTCAAATCTTCTTTTCTAAATGGAAGACTGTTTGATGTCACATTCACCCGCATTTTCCAATGCCAGAGACAAGCCTGTAGGGACCAAGATGCCTATTTCAACACCAAATCCTGGGTTGATAAAGATGAAGCGCTCAAGTCAAAGCTTGCCTTTGATATCGACGGCAACGGTATCAGCGGACGGTATTATAAGCTACTTGCTTCCAAGTCGGCGCCAACGAAGCAGACATTATTTCAAGAATGGCACGACGATCGACTAATACCTTGGCTGCACTATATACCTGTCAGTCAAAGTATGGAAGAGCTCCCGGAGCTGGTCTTTTATCTCACCTCGACTGCATCTGGAAAAGAAATCGCGAGGCAGATCGCAGAGCGAGGTCGACAATGGCATGCTCGAGCATTCCGCGAGGTCGACATGGGTCTGTATGTTTACCGGCTGTTGTTAGAGATGGCAAGGCTCCAAGATCCTCAACGCAACACAAGTTGGGAGTAATGAATCTGGGGTAAATCTAGATTTGTGGAGTATGTCATAGATGTGTTATTTGCAGTTGAGGCTCATGGCTATCATTACCACTCAGAGACTATCACGTGAAGTAGAGACCAAGACACTGTAATAACCTATCAGCATTAAGTAGACACCTGCTTGCTGGGGACGGGTTAATCTCCGGTTCACGATGATGAAGAGAATTTGGGAAGATGTACTTGTAATTGTCTCTACTGGAAACCTCTTCCAACCGCCACGTTGAACACTACTCGGTGGTGGGCCGAAGCCTCCTTTTGCCCCTCAACCTTGAAATATCATTGCGTGTGTGAGGCGCGTGATGTGAGCATCAGCGGTGGGGTCTATTATCTCAAAATGACACTCTTCTCAAATCCATTCAGGCAGTATACTAGCTACCTAACATCTAGCACAAAATTGAATCACCAATCGTGAGACCTGTTCTCTTTGGGGTCATGTAAACATTAGCTTTCCCAGTATACAAGAACGCCTGAATAAGGACTGGCTATGGCTAAATTGTCTTGCAGACATCTGGGGCAATTGTGTTAGGTAGCTGGTATATTCCCTGGACTGATCATGAGTGTTATTTTCAGTTGATACACCCCACCGCTGATGCTCACATCACGCGCCTCACACGTCTTGCAGACATTGGTATAGTTACGTGTATTTAAGCCATTGGCTACAATTAATCTCCACCCCTCTTCCAACCGCCCAAATTGATAAGGTTAATAGTAAGCTTGTATTTCCGGACCGTCTACTTGACTGATCAGTGGCTCCAAGGTTATCCATGCTGTCAGAACAAACAATGAGGAAGCCACAACTCTCGCATCATGAATCATTGATTGTAATGCGAGATTTCAACTTGTCATTGACTGTAAATGCTCTGTTCAGATCCCAACTATTAAAGGAGCACATCTCCTCTACTCAAAGGCGCATAAAATTAGCATCAGCTGTCAGTTGTATCAACTCGAAAGAACACTCTTAAAAATCCAGTTCAGGCAGTGTTATCGCTCAGAGCTCATCACCAAAAGCATCACACTTCTTTCAACACACCTGATCTTCAAACCCAGCGCCCACTTTGTTGACCAAAAATGAAGTTCACACCGCTGATCGTGGTCTTGACCACTCTCCTCTCTTTAGGAGAAGCAATCGGAAAGACGTGAGTTAGATGTGTTATCTGCAGTTGAGACTTGTGGCTGAGAGCTTATATCAGAGCGAAATGGGCATGCGTCGACGATAAGGTGGTCATGGCGCTACTGACTAAAAAATGCTGCGAGGAGACCCGAGGCAAGTTTAGTGCCTCGGACGATGCCTGCAAACATAAGGCCAAGTCCAAGAAATGGGCAATGAAGAAATTGGAGGAAGTTTATACTTGCTGCTCGAAGGGAGGTGGTCTACCCGAGCTTGAAGAATAATACAGCATCTAAGAATGTTACTGCGAATTGAATCGTAAGTCTTGTGAGACTACAGTGGTTTATATGCTCTTTTTACTGACAATCTCATCTTAGGCAAACCTCGTCGAATGAACTATCTTCCCCTCTGCGCATAGCACTCTTTGGCGTGGTGCACAACGGGAGGTTGAACGGCGATGGTGTAAGGGGGTGACAAGGAATTGGGTCAGATCAAATTGTGCAGGATGGCAACCCTAGATAACTACAGGTAGCTAATAAGACTCTATTCACATGGCGGTATATAACGCCTTGAAAAGTGTTATGCTGTTCCCCTCTATGCTGTTCTCTTACCCCTCAACCTTATTATAGCAGAATAATGCCAATATTAAAATGCGTCACCGACCGCGAAACCTGTCTTTTTTGAGGCCAGGCCAACTTTGGTTCGTATGATAGTGAATAACTCCAGAATAAAGACCGGCTAAGGAATGGCTTCAATGCACCTACACATATTGCGCGTATTCAAGCTGTTGGCTATGATTCATCTCCATCCATCTCCTCCCCCCACTCAAGTCCATAAGGTTAACGATCGGCTGGCATTCTCGAACCATCTCCTTGATTCATCAGTGGCCATAATGCTGAACCTTAGACCGCCAGTACAAACACGTTGTGTTCAAACCATTTTGGACTCGTTCAACAGAGTTTTGTTTAATTGAGAACTTTATCCCGACTTCGACCGAATCTGGAACTCAGTCATCTGGGTATCTAGCTTTTCAGCCAAAAGCAAGATCGTAAGCAATAGTCTTTACGTCTGTGCCCTGGGGGCTGAAACCTCTTCTCACGTCAACCTTCTCACGGTCAGTACACATATAGGACGCGATCAGTCTTGGATAATGACTCATTGTAGAGCCTCAGTGGCCTGATTACACAACTTCACGGATCATCGAGTTCGAATGCGTTGCTTGGATCATAAATATAAAAGAGGCCCGTTTCCTTCACAAAGTCCAAGAACGAATCGTAATATAAGCATCAATTATTACATCTATCAACTCAAAGCAACATTCTCATAAACCCAGTTCAGTCAGTATACCAGCTACCTACACAATTGTCACTCAGAGTTCATCATCCAAAGCATCGCACCTATCCACATACCTCATCTTCAAGCCCAACCCTCCTTTCTTGAGCAAAGATGAAGCTCTCCCCTCTCGCCATCTTGGCCTTCGCGGCTCTTCTCTCTTCAGGAGAAGCATGTTTTACTAAGCCCAGCGCTCCCCGAGACACATTCGATTGCGTCAACAGGGGGTCCGGGGAGGTCGAACATGAAATAACCAAACGATGCTGCAAAATAGTGCAGGGCAAATATGACGACAAAGCAAAGACATGTGTCCTTCACCCCATGTATGATATCATGGTCAAGAAAGGCCGGCTTCGCATGACTATTGAGGCATGCTGCAGGAGACGTGGTCATATCAACCCTTACCCCCCCTTCTAATTGAATTGAGTCGTCCTGGAAGGATAATACTATGGATGAGACTGTTACTGCTAATCAAATCGTAAGTCTTGTCGAGATCGAGGGAACACTGGTTTAACGTTTTTATTGTTGATGCTCCGCTTACTGACCATCCTATCTAGGGGTCCTGCACAATGGGGACATTCAATGGGTAGTACGGAGTAGACATTGGGGAATGAAATCTTAAGAAGGGGAGTCGGGGTCACGAGCCGAGATACGTCTATGACAACAAGATGTCTTTCTAGTCCGAGAGCCATAGAACAAGATTTTCTCTTATAGGACTTATTAAAGATCATGAGGCTGCATTGTGATTTGTGCCAGAATAATAACAGCCTCTAAGAATTCGACCAGCTCCACTGTAAACATTGCCTCACTTATCAAGACTACTACTTCTTAGTCTATAAAGTAGGGCTAGACCACATTATTGAAAAAGAGAAATATTTAGTTTAGTTACGTCCTTGGATCAAGATATTTTCCCGTGTCTTTCATAATGGCTACGCAGGGAATCGAACCTAGAATCTTCCGATCCACTCTTGGACGCCGCGTTGCCATTGGGCTACGCAACCTGCATTTCACTCCTCACGAGCGAAAATTCGCCTCGACTGCTCCCCGAATGGCGAGACCGCCAATCAGTGCCGGTCCTTCCGAAGGATTCAAAATCCGGTGCCTTGCTATTTGACTTGGGAATGATATTGGATGGTTTGGGTGACTAGGAGGGTAAGCAGCGGGGTTGCATACGTAGTGCTTATTCGTGTGACTTTTCGCATCAGCTTGTCCGGGTTCGAAGGTAGTGGAATAAGTATAAAGAGAGATAATGCCTCGCCTTTTATTCCGAAAGGCTTGCTTTGGTGATTTATTGTTGATCTTGTGATTTCAGCATGGCTTCAGCTCAGAACCCTGTTCGCATTGCTATGCGTGATAAGCACTACAATGAACGCTCCGAAATTCAGAATGCGGCTATGAAAGCTGGTCTTGATTTGATCCCCAGCTTCTCGGACAGTAAGCAATATGCTAATGGTCTTTTCATCTGGCCAAGCCGATGCTGACTTCTGGTAGGAGACAATTTGGTAGTCGTTGATTATGGAACCGCTCAGGGTGCAAACTCGTAAGCCTGAAGCCCCGACTTTACACTTCCTCGCTGACATTCTCAAGGATCGAACCTATAAAGAAGGCAATCTCAACCTTGCCAGATGGAGCCATCGCTTCTCTAATCTTTGAAGATACTCCGTTCAACGACTTTGGAACCCTGGCAAAGACTGTCTCGGACAACTTCATCAACGACGACAGCAAGATCCAGATCGTGCCAAGTCTCGTCCCACTGGGATTCTATCAGCAGGTGGTCCCAACCGGACAAGCCGACATTGGCTTTTCCTGGTCCTCTTTCAACTACCTGGAGAATATTCCTTCTGTTAGTCTCGACGCAACAGCATCCCCAGCTGATTTTGCAGTTGCTCGTCACAAAGCACTTGCGGCAGCAGCGCATACAGACCTCATTAAGCTACTGAAGCTTAGGGCCAAAGAAATACGGAGCGGAGGATACTTCATTGCTGCTATTGGAGGACAAGCGCCTGAAGGGGAGAGTACGCCTTCGAAGCCAGGCTCTCCAGTCCTTCAAGCTGGATTGATGAGAATGGTCGGTGAGGGGAAGCTGGCATTGCCTGAGCTGATGCAGATGGCTCTTTTCCCAAGCCACGAGCGCACTCCAAAAGAGGTTCAGGCCGCTTTGAATGATGAGGCTGTCGCACCGCTATGGGAGGTGGAGTCTCTAGAGCCAAAGCTGATTGTCCAGCCAGCCTGGCATGCCTACCAGTACAAGATCAAGGCCAATGAGAGTGAGAAAGACGAAGCTCTGAAGGAATATGCTCGGATCGCTATTAATAACGTGGTCTCAGCTTCGGGCTGGTTCTGGGTCGACGTACTGAAGAAGTCACGAGGTCAACATTGGGATGGAGGCGAAGCATTTCTTGAAGAATTCATCAACATTACGGTTGAGGAATTTGTTACAAAGTTTGCGGACTTCAAGTTGGAGATATGGTATAATTACATCAAGCTCAAGAGAACTGATAAGAAGGCGTAGATCTATTGGGGCAATAGGGTAGCATTTAGTGAGAAACTCCATGGAGTTCTCGGAGTGGATGGCATCACGTCATATTGAGCATATCGATTAGTCAGATTCACCTCCACGGAATTCCATAATATCTAAATAAAGCATGACATAAACTCCTCACTTCAATACAACATTGCAATAGTTCAATCACTATCAATTCACTCCTTCGTCACTAAAATACGAGGTTCAACATGACGCAAATCGGAATCTTCCCCGCTTCTGGAGCCCTAGGCACCAGCACGTATACTCATCTTCTCTCTCAAGTCCCGAACGACAAAGTCACGCTCATCAACCGATATCCCGAAAAGGTTCCCAAGAAATACTTCGAGAACGGAACTACCGTTCGTCAGGCTTCTTATGAGTCTACCGCTGGAGAACTCGAGGCTGCTTTTGCAGGGATCGATGTACTGTTCTTGATCTCATATCCCAGCCATGTTCACGAATATAGGACGAAAGTGCACACTAAAGCACTCGATGCAGCGATTAAAGCTGGAGTAAAGCATATTTTCTACTCGTCGCTTGGATTCGCGTCGATTAATGAGAGTACTACCAAGGCTGAAGTCATGGGTGCTCATCTTGACAGTGAGGCGCATCTGCGAAAGATTGCGAGCGCGAAGGAGGGATTTACGTGGACGAGTATCCGCGAGGGTCTTTACAGCGAGTCATTCCCCATCTACACTTCATTCCTCGACCTCAAGAACCCCCCATCCAAAGTTCTCATCCCTCACGATGGAAGTGGACCTGGGGTTAGCTGGGTCAAGAGAGATGAACTCGGAGAAGCGACTGCCCGTCTCATCGCATCATACGCGAAATCACCATTATCATTCAAATACACCAACCAAATCGTCACTTTAACTGGCCCCAAAATCTGGACATTAGCAGAAACCGTCGAAGTCCTATCGCGCGCCGCAGGAAAAGAATTCAAGATCCAAGAAATCAGCGTGGACGAGTATGTCAACCTCCCTCAAATCAAAGAATACTTCGGAACAGAGGAGAAAGCGAGGACGTGGGCTACAGCATGGGATGCCATTCGCGCTGGAGAAACAGCTGGTGTAACAAACACGATGAAAGAGATTTTGGGAAGCGAGTCTGAGGATTTTGAAAAGACTATTGAGGAATTGGCCAAGAATCAGCGGTCAGGTTAGAATGTTGATGAATTGTTGAGGCTGGAAGGTGAGAAAAATACGAAGGCTGAACTTTCGTGGAACGGTAGATGCAATGAATGCACGATTGTTTCTATTTTTAGGCTGTGGATAGGCTATGTGTGACGTGGTCGAGAATTAGATCAGCGCCTCATTTGGCTTAGAGTTTAGCGACGAAATGAATTCATGCGACGCTGTATTTACTGTATGACCGCCTGCGAAATGCATTCTAGAAAAGCCTTAGAAATTGAAGAAACATTCCAGCTGACTTGCCTAGCTTGCATCTGTAGCAATGCCATGACGGTTGTAGGCAAATGATCCTTCATCCGCTTGCGTTCCGTTAGCCGTAGTGGATCTCGCATAGATCTCGGCCTACGTCAGTGGGTATTAATAGCCCATAGCAGCATCTAGTTTGTTCTGCTGTTCAATGCAGGGATATTCTACTGGCACGTTACTGGCGATCGTCGGCACATATGCCGTGCTTTACGAGATGGAAACCCATCATGTGTTCTCGATCTCGTATTGCGGAGGCAGTGAAGTGGCGAGATTTTTCTTTTCAGCTAGCCTCAGAATCTTGTGGCTGGAAAAAGAGGTGTCAAAAATAATTAGCGTAAAGGGCCACTAGGTCTGCTTAAACCTTTTTGTCATTGAGACTAGAGATCCTAAGTTTTTTCTGCCTGCCTGGGCGGAAGAATTTCTATGTGAAACGCCCGAAAGACCCGACCCTTTGTAATTGGATGTAACGGTAGGTGACATTAAAGGGACAAGATTACGACAGGGGTTATCCTCCTCCATTGAAATGATGTCAATAACTGCCGTTGCACTCCTCATTCGTCAAAAGATCAACTGAAGATCCCTTGGAACCTCGTATTCACATTTATATAAGTCCTTCACCCCAACCACTTCTACCTACCTGCCATTCTCACTCCAACCCATCCAAACAACCCTTCTAAACAACATCAACAACCACAACATCAATCAAAATGCAGTTCAAGACTCTCTTCGCCGCCTCTCTCCTCGGCCTCGCTGCCGCCGCCCCCGCAGAGGAGTGCAGCAGCAGCACCAAGACCAGCCCCCCCAAGTCCGGCAACTCTCCCGCCCCCAAGACCTTTGGCCTCGTCGCTCTGCGCTCCGCCAGTCCTATCCACTTCACACACTTCAGCGCCTCTGAGAACGGCTTTTTGCTTGGTCTTCCCGCGGATAAGCAGAACGCTACCTGCTCTGGCAAGTCTGATGGATCAGCTGTTTTCCGTCTGAGCGAGGGTGAATTGTATCTCTACAACACCGGCAAGAAGCAGCAGCGCGCTTATACCGATCGCTCTGGAATGGGTAAGTTCTCATCTCACACTTCGTAATTGAATCGTTGCTAATATTTTATAGGCCAAGGTGTTCTTCAGTATTCTACCGTCACCAAGACCCCGCTCCCCGAGGCGTTCGAGACGAAGGGATGGAAGATCGACAAGTATGGCAATCTCAACTTTGCCGATGCTAGCGGTTTCACTGCTTGCCCCAACGGTCCTGACGGTTCTTGGACTGTTTGGGTCGCTACTGGAAACGATCACCCTGGAAACACCGACAAGGAATGTCTTGGCTTTAATGCTCGTGTTGCTGAGATTGAACACGCTACTAGCTGCTTTTACTCTGAGTACTCTTCTTAAACCGAGGCTTGGATGATTATTTGTATATAGATTTAGCGCGTATGCCTTTCTTGTAAACTGAGATTAAATTTATTCCTTGCCCTCCCTATACGTCAAAACTCCATTTGACATACGTGAATGCCCAAATCCTGAACATGGTCCATAGGGATAACTGAATCTGCTGACACTTTTAAAATAAACGGCAATACACAACAAGTTCCAACACCTAATAGTATTGTGTGATCAACAGACATTGAGAATCAAGGAATGGGTCGTGCAATTATTTGCTACTTTTGAACTCCTATAAAAAATAAATCCTAATATGTATTTGGTCCATACCCAGGAGGCCAATATGCCACATCATGAACAGTCTTATGTTCAAGTGTTAAAGGCAGCCTATCCATGGGATTCATGGAACGGAACTCAAGCTCATGTTCTCGTAGCCCATAGCTTACTGTGTGTCTCTTGTAAATGTCTACCATCAACGGCCACCGTTCTCCACAGCCTGTACCACAACCAGGATTAGAGCACCATAATACATTCTCAGTATCCTTATTAAGAATAGGGTGCTCATCAGTTTCAAAATTGAGGTTCGAGAGCCAGGTCATAGAATCTGGGTACAAATAACACTTCGTCATCTCAACGAGAAGTACGACCCAGGGTTGTTCATAAACCCAGCTATATCGTGCTCCGCACCGATTACAAGCGTAGCTGCAGCCAGGGTATTGATAGTCATAATATCGGCTCCGCAGATTGTGGCAACGAGGTGTGTCTAGGGTAAAAGAAGATGCGATAGACTCGAGTTGACCAGAGGCATGTTGGCATAGCCCATCGCCGTCCAGTTCTTGTAGTTGTTCCAATAAAAACAACTTCAATTTCCCAATGTCGAGATCTTGTTGATGATGAACCCTCGCCATCGGAAAAGATCGGGAGTAGTCGCTACCTGCACCTGTTGAAAGAGACAAATATCTGAAACGTGGCATGTGGCCTCTTAACGAACCGCCACATTTGTCGTAGACTGAAATATGTTCGGGATGCTCGCAAGTTATCACCACGCTCTCTCGCTCCAGTGTCTTTTTCCAGGGTATTTCTAGCAACTTGCCCGAGATTTTGAGATGCTTGCAAACAGTGAAGTGACCAAGTAGTCCGACGCAGCGATTTTCTGTTGGCTGACCTTGAGGAAACAAAAGCTCTGGATGTGGGTCGTTTCATCTAGTACACATAACCGGTTTCCAGAGAGCTCTGAGTTTTTCTTCAAGCTCGCCAGAGTCGAAGAGCTTGCCCCAAGGACTGCACAGAGATCTCCGGCGGAACATGTTTTTGACTATAAACAGCTGGTCGAGCGCGGCTTTCGTAATGCAGTATTCTTCTTCGTTGCTCCGCAGCATTTCCAGTCGAAAAGATTTGAATTCAAAGCCGGCTAATAGATGACGAAAGATGCTAGAGGTTTGGTGGATCATGTAAAGGGAACTGTGCGGCAAAAAGGCCATGATTTGAAGTAGCAATTCTCGTGGGAGTCGCAGTAGTGCTGAGGTTTGCAGCGGGGCATGTTGAGGCTCTAGGGGTCAAAGAGACACCGTTGTCTCTGCTTGTTCTTGTACGGAGGTGGCCAGTAGACAAGTCCCCGATTTTTTATCGTCAAAAAAAGGAACCCGGGATGCGTCAGTCCTTGGTCGAAAGCGATGCAGCAGTCGTAGAGCTCGTGGCACCGTGTGATGATGCTCAAGTCTGAAACATTCCTGAGTGTCCATCTTGGTTGGGCGTTTTTAGGTAGGCATATAACATGAGGTAAAAAAGTGGACGATGGAAGTGTTGCAACCAGCATTATTTATAGAGCCACTGGGTGGGCTTTGTGCAATAGATTTTCGTTTTTAAACACTAATTTACAACTCTCGAATAGGTGGCCCCCCAGGTTTTAGTGTTTGGGATTCCTGGTATCTTATTTTTTTACATCTCAACCTTGGGTACCTAACTTAGGTATTGACCAGTTGCAACAGCTCAGATCAGACTTTGTGTGATGAACGAAGCTATTCCCTAATGAGTGTAGTGTAATGGGTACCTAGGTAAAATCGGATCATGGGAACGTTTCAGGCCCCACCTCTACACGTGACGTCTTGCTCTTATCTGATCAAGGTTTTGATCTGATAAACTGCTCAACTTAAACCCCTGCCTCTCCTCATTTTTGATCAGCCCCAACGGCGGCGCCATGAAATTCGCAGCTCCTCTGAGCGCGCTGCTCATCAGCCTCTCACTATGGAAGCCTTCCCTTGCAGCCGAGGACAGATCTCCTGAGCGGGTATGCTACGACGCGTGTTTCGCGTGCCTAAAGCCCGTGCATTTCGACGACGTGCTCCGGAACCAAACGGGTTTTACAAGGACTTGCTACAGCCCCAAAGCGATACTATCGCTGTATTTGTGTCTTGATGTGTATTGCGCGCCTGGAGCGGTAGAGGTAGGCCTGGGGTCGTACAATGAGACGTGTCGGGAGAAGGCGCATATTGTTTTACCGCCGTTTGACGTGATCTCGAATTATACAGCCGAGGATGTTGAGAGGGTGAGGAGGGTTGAACGAAATGAAACGGATGAAGGGGTTTTGTTTAGAGAGGTTGTTGTTCCTTCTGAGCATTGGTTTGGAATCTGGTGGGATACCCTGGTAAGTGATCTGGGAGTAAAGGTTGAACGGGACTGATGGTGATACAGGACTCTGTGGCGTATACATACACTTACCATGATGTCTACGGGTAGGAGAAGCTCCACGTGTGTCGGTAAGAATGCTAAAAATTGATAGGCGCGCCATGATCATCTTCTGGATCGTCGTCGTAGCTATCGGCGTCTTGAATCATGCTATTCTTCACATCGCCAATCTACAGTTGGTTCGCAACTACTCCCCCAAATCCGGCGGTCGACTCTGGAACCTCTACAATTGGGCACTCAACCGCATAACCGTCCCAGCTTTTCTCGGAGACCGATGCGCGCAGAAAGTCGGCTGGGGGACTGTCCCTCCTCAAATCCAGTCATGGACCTTGTTTGCTTTCCTCCTTCTCAATATTGCATTAAGTATCCTTGGATACAAAATCGTGCCAGTCAATATGTAGTAAGTGTCAATCATCTTTGGGTAATAATGGCTCGGGACTCACATTGTTATAGCTTTCCATCGACGGCGAAACAGCTGCTTCGTTATGTCTCGGACCGCACGGGTATTATATCGTGGGCTAACTTCCCTGTTATTTGGCTTTTTGGAATGAGGAATAACCTCCTCATGTGGCTGACTGGCTGGGACTTTGGAACATATAACAATTTTCATCGGTGGGTTGCTCGAATTGCAACTATTCAAGCAATCGTTCATTCCATTGGCTATACCTGGCTGATTGTGTTGGGTTCGTAACTTCGTTATACCTCTTCTTGTGGACTATATGCATACTAACTCTGTGCTAGAGGGAGGTTGGGAGTATTATTTATTCTGGTGGAACTATATGTTCTGGTGGGTTGGTGAAGTGGTATGTTTCTCCCCTTGTCGGCTTCGCAATTGTACCTGACATGTCTAGGCAACTATCGTCATGTCTCTTCTAGTAGGGGCATCATTCTACTGGATTCGGCGTCAGCAGTACGAACTATTCTTGGTAGTACACATCATCATGTCAATCATACTCCTCATCACAATGCTTGCGTAAGTCTAGTCTCCCATCACTCCCAGCCTTGTCTAACAATCCAGGCACGTCTCTATCTTCCAAGGCGAATACGACGTATTCTTCTGGGTCCCCTGCTTCATCTGGGTCGGCGACCGTGTCATGCGCGCTCTTCGAATAGCAGCCTTCAACCCGAGGCTTTGGGATACCTGGGCCACTTCCATTTACCATCCATCCTCCAACATCGTTAGACTTGTCGTTCCCTGGTCAAGCAGTCTGTACAAGCCAGCCCCGGGAACATTTTACTACATTCATGTTCTCAACGGACCTCGATGCTGGGAAAGTCACCCCTTTACCGTTGCAATGGTCACAGATGAAGGACAGCGGGGTTCAAAGCTCCTCGGCGAACAGGTTCCTCTGCTCGACGGCACAGTTGCTGAGCAAAGCTCGGATCCAGTCGACTCACAGGATATACTCAGCGACTCTCGCACAATGACATTTTTGATCCGTCCCTATGACGGCTTCACCTCCAGACTCCGCGACACCGCATCAGCAGTCTGGCCTAAAAACGTCCCTCAACGCGTCCTTATTGACGGGCCATACGGCCACACCCGTCCTCTCCATCTCTTCGATAACGTCACTTTCATCGTCGGTGGAAGTGGCATCGTCGTTCCTCTGTCATATCTCCAACTCCTCGCCGGCCCAACAGGCCCTCGGTCCGTGAAAATTCACTGGGCTGTTCGCGAACCCGCCTTCGCACTCGATGTCCTACAAACAGACATTGCTGACGCTTTAGGGAGCACGAGCCTCAGCGTTGAGATACATCTTACGACACATACGCCGCAGGATGAACTAAGTGAGTGGCCGTCGCAGATTACTTTGCACAGAGGTAGAATAGATGCTTCGGATGTGGTGAGGAGGAGAAGTGAAGAGGTGATGAGCGAGAGTCTTGCGATTGTTGCGTGTGGACCGGCGCAGATGGCGGACGATGCAAGAAAGACAGTTGCTGATTTGTTACGAAATGGAGTTATGAGGGTAGAGTATTTTGAGGAGAGCTTTCAATGGTGATAGACTACATTCGGGGGATAGACTTTATATAGATTTGTTCATGATACTCATGATACTCATTATGCTACTAGTCGCTAATAAATCGTGATATCTACAAGTTCATCCTCCTTGGCCGCTGCCTCGCCGTACATGACACCGTGAGTATAACACTCTCCTATGAGCTTCCAGCCTCCCTTGTTTTCTCTAAGTATAAGGGGCGTGTTACAACCCCCCAAGACAACAATTTTATCGTTGATATCGGCTGCACAAGTTCCCAATCCCATCCTGCCATTCTTCGTTCCAAACAATCGTCTCCACGCCATCGCATTAATCGCCCACGACAAAGAATCTCGCTGCATCTCAGTAGGATTGTACAGACTTTCTCCAACAAGTCCCTCTTTCAGCCGTGTAAACCACTTTCTAGGTCTGAATATTATCTCTTCTAGAGTATATCCGCAAAGTTGAAGCTGCCGATTCCGCTTCATGAAGATATAGAGCCCAAAGCCATGAGTATAAATACCCGCAACACCGCTTTGCCACAGTTTGGGATCGAGAAGCCAGGCATAAGACTCTGGGGCCCGTCCACCGCCTTGGGGAATTGTGTCTGCTACTATAGTTCTCCAAAACGCGTTTCTGGTGGCTTCGAGATCGCCATAGATACCCTGAGAAGAGGTAGAGTTGATTGGGTAGCGAGTGTCAACCTCAGCTGCGTTGCATGCACTCAATGATATGATGGTGTCCAAAATGAGACCTTTGGTAGTGAGACTGGCACAAGATGGAGAGAAGATTGGTATCGATAGACCCAACCCTGCGTCTGCTTGGTATGCACCACCAAGTTGAGCCGTCGGAGCAGGAGTGCATGTCCAGCACACTGCCCAAGAAGGAATATCATGATTGCAAATGGTACCAACTGGAGTTGTTCCCTGGCCTTTGGTGACGCTATTCAATATCGCCAGTAAGAAAGGGGCCATGGACTGATTTCGTAAGAATGCGGGTAGTTTGTCGACTGCCCAGTTCGTTGGTATATGACCTCCGGGACCTGAAACTAGACGAAGTATGTTGAGATCGCCCTTTGCCATCAGCTCCGAAGCAAAGTTGGCGAAGATTGCTGATCTTGATAGGTTATAATCAGGTTTGATACGGACCCTGTCAGCAATGGCTTTTATTCCCAAGATGCCGTAGACTCTATCCTTCTCTTCTGTCACCAGCGAATCTCGCGCAAGATTCAGTGCCCGCACCAGGTCTCGCCATGCCGTCGATGGAGCTTCAACCTTTTGATGTTCTTGGATTCGCATCATAGTCTGCTGAACTTTCCACATCCTTTCTGGTGCCCAGTCCCTCTCCTTGATCAGCCTATCACGCGCAAACTCAAACGACCATGTCGTCAATATGAGCGGCCGAACGCTTTCCAGAATGGCGTGACCGAATCTTGACTCATCCCCAGCGATAAGATTGACAGCCTGATGGACATCATGCCAGGAAATATATTTATCGCCGCAGATAACAGGAGTGTGTGGGTTTCCCATAGCTACTTCTTGAACTACCCACATTCGCCGCCAGTACGGCCTGGTGAAGAAATGGAATAAAGCCTTGTAGACTTCTTTCTTCATGGGACTTTCGTAAGTTGGCCACATGATGATAATGGGACGAAGATCGATTGAGAAGCTCTCGATATAGAAATCATCCATTGGACTAGGCCGATTCGACTCGCGTGCTAGCCAATGGAGAGCAGATAGAGCCAGTTGACTGTCTTGTTCTGCTGGCCCTAGCCATATGGCAACCTGCCAAGCAGACTGGTATATATCGCGCATTCTCGCAACTTGCTGACCGCGCTCATCGTTGTCACTTTGATTGATGCAGATAGCGTCTACCCAGAGTTTGAAGCCCTGCCGTACTCTATAGCCTTGGCTGAGCTGCACTAGGGCGTGATACAAGTTGGGGGTTACTTCGAAAGGACAACCGTTGACCGTGATAGAGTAAGGTGGTTGCCCTTCTGAGAGTTTTGGATGGCCCCAGACATAAGATAATGCGATAAAATCTCCCCATTCGTGTCGCCACGGTAGATCTGTCTCATCCGGAATGGGTAGCTCTGTCGATTCTTCTTCATCGCGGTGTGGATCGCGGCCATTCTTGAAGAGCGCATCAGTGTCGTGACTCTCAGAAAGCTCTGGCCATGTTCCACCGTTTCCTTTGAATGGATGGTTAAAGGCTCCTTTTGCTGCAGGTGGCAAGCAGACATGCTCAAGTGAGCATGCTATTAACGGGCGCTTACCGTCGTTGGTAGCAGCTTCAGCATCATCGAGTGTCTCGATCTTCAGAAGGCGGATCTCATCACCGATCAACGGCCGATACTGCAGCAAGGGTCCCATCAAGGGAGACAGTAAATCAGTGAGGTAGTATCATGGAGTAGAGTAATCTCCCCTGCCTGTTTCGAAACGTTGGGCCGCGACATGCTCGGCGCTTAGAATGGACTCACTCCAGCGAATCGGAGACCGTCTCACCCCTGTCAGATCATTTAACAAATCGCGTATCTCGTTGACCGCCTCAGAATGTGAACTCATGATTAACGTTTGTGACACAAATACAAGGATCTTAATTTAATTGAATTTCATCATGTATCGGAATTCCGAGACTTCATACAGATTTAAAATTTTGCAAACCGCTCACATCTCTCCAATGGCTTATGAACCAGGCGCAAGTCCACCAATACCCATTCCATCTTCCAACTAAGCCTCTGATAAAACATGAATAAGACGATCAATCATAGAGGAATGACACAGCAGTTGATAGGTATGGGACATGGAATGATGAAGCAGAAACGACCACGGCAATGGCCGTCACAATCCTTGCCTCCTCTGAGATTGAGCTCTGGCTCAGCTCGCTCAATATTGTCTTGAGGTCTTTGAGGATCTATGGATGCCATGTTAGTCTTTTGATCCGTTCAACTGCCCTGTATGCATACCCATAGGCTGGTGCGCTCTTGGCTGAACCATTTCCGTAGACTCTGGAGCATATTCTTGTTGGTTGATGCCCGCAGGCTGAGCAACAGGTCGAGGTTCTGAAACTGGAGACATGTTCTGTATAGATAGAATAATGATATTAATGGTATCAAATGACAATGGAAATCTAAAGGAAGACCAAGACTCTTGTTATGACAAAAAGAAGAATGACCCAGCGCCTTGGCTTCGGGTCCATGACCCATATTTACCAACTGGCTGGGCCCGTCGCTTATCTGCCCGAAAACTTGGAAGTGAGATTCATGGCGTCACCATATGACCGCTACCATACACTAGCCTAAGATCATGAAATAGTCACACTGAAACACTAAAGTTGTCTAACCTAGCTAATCGACCTTGCAGGGGACTAAAAGCGCCTGACGAGCCCTAACGTTGATCTGCAACGTCATCATATCCTGCACCCTCTTAACTTGCGAGATCGCATACATGACCGCCCGAGAGAACTCCTCGTCCCAAATTACTTGACTAACAGGCTTCAGCGCTTCCAGCCCGATACGTAGATGAGCCAAGCAAACCTGCAGACTTCGTAGAGCCTCCAGTGCTTGTAGCTGACTTTCTGTATCGGCGCTCTTTGGGAATAACGAGTCGCGCAGCGTGTGAGCGGCATGTCTACCACGGGCTTGATTTTCCCGAATTCATACACGGGCCGTCTGAAGGGTTTGTATGAGGAGACGAGCACCGGAGTGAGCTTCCGATTCGGCTACTATATAATCTAGCAATTGCTTTGTTATGTGGTCTAGGAGGAGAATTGATTTGTAGGTGTCGCCTAACCAAGTCTCCAATTGACGCACACGATTGCTCAGATCATTTTCTGTGATACTTGAAGTCGTAGCATCGTTCTTTTCTGCTTTTGCCAAAGCCTCGGATTGCCGTTCCTTTGCCGTTGGGCGACCATCTGGGACTCTCTGGATGGATATAGCACCGGATTAGAATGTCGGCTGCTTAGAAATGGGGTCCCATTCGGCTAAAAGACTATCGGCATAAATCTTGAGATGAAAAAGTGAGGCATACTGAGCGTAAGATCATATGCGGCTCGTGTCCTTCCATCCTAAGTATCCCAATACCCGAAATGGGACGGAATAAAAGCCTGTCCTTGAGAAATCTCGCCGACGTTGACCTTCATCTCAACCTCACCCCGCCAGCTAACGCCCCAACTTAGGTAAAATAAGTAAATAATTAACCTGATAGTTTTACTACTAATTATAAGCATGCAGCATAATAAATTATAAGTTAAGCAGGGTCCTTAACTGTAAAATTATACTCTTTCTCTCCCTCAGGGTATGGGTTGAAAACCATAGGTTTGTCAAAACAGGCACAAACAATGTCAACAAACCGTGCTAGACCGCATGTATTGCCTTGAATGACTTCCCTCAGGCGAAACGCTGAGGTGCCCAGACACACACCCGTCCCCAGACTCCATGAAAATAGAAGGGCTGGTTAGTGAGGTGCGAGGCACTCCTGTAGAGTTCAAAGTCTGGTTGCCCAGGCTGTTTCCTCATCTAGGCCTATAAGTCATTAAAGTCCTCCTGCAAGGATTAGGCACTGAGTACAGCAGTTATATAAACGATACATACGTCAAATTTGAAAGAACTTGTCGGTATATCTTGTCTGTTCAATGTAAAGCTCATCTAACTAGATGTATCCGGCTCGGCTGATCATTCGCCAGCGACGTGATCCGACTGGGTTTAACGATACTGATCACACAGCCCTGAGGACTTCAATTGGGATCGGATCGGATTTTTCTGCTACCTTAACAGAAAGAGCCCAGTAACACCGCCCGGCTCTCTGGTCTCTTTCGATTCAGTTGCGTTGTCTTTCTACACGTATGAGATGGCAGTGTATCTGAAAATGGATGGTCCCATTCCCATTGGCTCTCCATGTTGATATTAAGGTGGATTAGAGAACTCCCAGATTCTGAGCATATGTTCCTCTAGAAAGGAAACGCAGTCTATTAACCGAATGTAGCCATCTGTTGTGTAGGGACCAGTATCAATAGGTTGTCCGTGGGACATGCCCCACAAATAATGGTACTTCAAAGATAATTCGGCTGCCAAACTTGGCTGTTTCACTTGTCTCTATTGGAAAGGCGGGCATGTCGCTTGGTTTCTTGATACTGGGGGTTGGAAAACGTGTCAGGTGGGTGCCGCAGAAGTTCGAGGCAAGTTGTGACAAAGTTGATTCAAAGGAATGTAATGTGGACCTGCAATTATAATGGCACATCGAAGAGATACATTAGAAAATATGGTCAATAATTGCTTATCATGTTTGAAATGCAATAAATATTCTCTTACCAGAAATTGCGTATATAAGAAAAAGGTGCATTCAAGCTACAAATTGATTGTTGACAATACCGGCAGTCAGCAGATACCTTGGTTGCCTCGCTATTGGCGTTCTGAGCGCCCTGCAGGCATAGCCACGTCACAAAAGTAGGCCTCCTACATATATCACACTCGCTTGCATGAATTGTGATGAACTTACGCTATGAACATTGCTTGACTGCAGCTTCCAGCGGTATTTCCATTGGCCACTGTTTGGGCTTCTCCAATCAACGCATTGCTTACGATGGGGGCCATCCTCCACCAAACTTTCCTTCAACCAAGAGAGAGTTTCGGGCTTGGCCGAGCGATGAAAACCCCAGTCGATAACCCACCTTGCCATCGATTGAGCGGAGCAAAAATGCCGATTGGATAGGCATGTATAACTAAAAGGTCTAATCACGTATCTATCGTATGATTCGTATCGTCCATGATGAAAAAGTCATCTTCCAGTGTATCTACGAGGATGACTGCGGCCTATAAGGTTAAGCTTTAGGCTGCGAACACAGTGAATGATAACACGATATCCCCCCCGCCCCCCCCCCGGATATCTTCCAATGTATGTGATGCCTGTCTTGCCGTTGCGGCTGAGGGCTAGAACATTCACCGCTACATCGGCCGCACTAGCGCCTATACTAGCTTGCTATTTCAGCCAGCCATAAATTGATTGATCTGAAACAATCAACGTTCTCGCCATTCGGCGAGATAGATCAGCTAGCCATAAACCATCTACCATTTCCTCTTCAAGGCCATATACCTGGTTTTAAGACATGTTGGGCTGTGATGAACGTAACACCGCGTCAGGCATCTCTGCAGGAGGCGTTGTCTAGACCCTCGCACCGAACGTCTTGTGCAGTATTCAGCTCGGACTTTGATAGACGAGCAAGCCACGGTCGATGTCTGCTGGAAACCTGAACACCCGGGTTAAACCTCCCGCGTTCAGCCCATGATGGGCGACGCATACAGATATGAAGATTACCCGCCTCCATGAAGTGTATAAAGTCATATAGCTCCGCCATTCAAAAGTCATACTCCTTCTCGCCAGACACAACTGATTACTTCATATTTCCACATCAGTTTACGGATAGCGAATACCTTGTCAGAGATAGCTCGATCTTAGCACAAAATGAGCACAGAAACTGCTCCCCCATCCTACGAGTCCGTCGTGCAGGGCCTGATTACGAAAACAGATGGCAAACAATTAACTGCTGACCAGCTTAATGCCTATGCGGCATCACTGACTCCGGCTGAAAAGTCGAGCATTGCAAATGCGCCCCTTCCGGATCCAAAAAACCTTACTCCGGAAGAAGTTGCCAAATTTCACGAGAAGGTCCAGAAGGACTTGACTGATCCTGCAGCCCTTGAGACCTTCAAGGCTGCAGCGCGGGACGCCGTGAAAGCATATAAAGAACTTGATCAGAAGTTTGCGTCAATTTACACTCAACTTGCCAAGATCGATAGCGACAACAACTTGACCAGTACTGACCAGTTCCTTCCGAAATTCGAAGATATTCAGAACTCATGGCGTAAAGTGCTCAAGGACAGTCGCACCTTGGCTGCAGATGTTTCAGTATATGCAAAGGGCTTCGATGATACCATTCTTCCGGTCGTTGCCGACCCGACCCTGGATGTCAAAACAAAGCTGGCCGTCCTGGATGCTGCCAAGGAGGTTAGTGTATATACCTACCTACGTGTTAAAGGCGGAGAACTGATAGGGTGCATCAGAACACAGAAGGTTATCATGGCAGGGCGGATGACATCAAGACCCGTCTGGAGAAAGTTGTTGATGATTTTCTGAAATTCACCGGCGAATTTGGTAAGTGGGGCCAAAAGACTGAGGGGGATATCAACAACCAGATCAAGACCGCCCAGAAACAACAGCAAGACCTCTTGGACCACCTGAGCAGTCTCCAGGGTCGATTGATCGGCTTTGGTATCGGTGCTGGCATTGGCGTTGCCCTGATCATTGGCGGCTTCTTCGCCGGACCTTTGGCGCCTGTTTTCTGGGTAAGAATCTGTCTCCGACGATAACTTGATTGCGCTCTGACCCCTGATATCAGGTTGCTGGCGGCTTAATCACTGCTGCTTTTGGCATTGGTTTGATTGCCACCGGAATCGACTATTCCAGTGAGTATTAATAAGACATGGGCTCTTTGGTAGTCTCGTTTGGGTCGTGTTAACCATCGGTACATCACAGACACCAAAGACGCTTTGGACGCGAAGAAAAAGGAGATTGACAGCTTGAATGCAAAGGTCACCTCCATCCAATCAGCCCGTACGACTCTCCAGGCTACCCTCACCGACGACGTTGCATACATGAAAGACCACATGAACGCAATTACAGGTGTTTGGGGTTATTTAATGGATGATACTGAAAAAATTAAAAAATGGATTGAGGCGGGAGCGTCACTTGAAAAGAGCGTGAGTCTGGTTTCACATGCTGCTCTCGGGCACGAATGGCACACATACACACGTGTGTGATTATGAGACCTATACTAACCTGAGGTACTACAGGATTCACTCCCTCCTGCCCTGAAAATTAGTCTTGTTGGCAATAAATTGTCTCCCGCTGTCGCTTTGTGTGAGTCTCTATCCGGCAACAATGGAAAGAATCTATTTATCATTAAGACATGTTTAAGTTAGTACCTAGCTAATCAGTTAATTAGATACCAAGATCGGCGAATACCTTTCCGAATATTCCAGTGGCATGATTGCCGCTAATATTCCCGAACCAAAGAAATAAATCGGGATAAAGGGCGAAATGTATTCTTTATTATATAGTATTCTCTATAGGCCAAGGCCTTGACTACATACTTTTTATACAAAAGGTTTACTGTTAAATAGCCAAATAAGGAACTGGATTAAATATTTTATTGTATTTAATTAACTGGCGAGCCAGATCCCAGAGAGTGATCAGCTTATCATAGTTCAAACATCATAATCCGCATCAAGACAATACATCTCTGGCGCTCAGAACGCATGAATAGCTAATGAAGAGCAAAGACCCTGGACCTAGATCCCGGAAGACCCAGTTCCCATGGAACATATCGACCAATGGCGCTCGTAATGAGGTTATTGAGGTGGTCGACATCATTCACTTCTTTCGGCCGTAGCACGGCATACTTGTAGCACTTAACAATCTTAGCCACTCTGTCGCCTTCTTGCGACTCTTCTGGGGTGAGGGCACAGTGGTCGCTTGAGGCGATGGCAAGTCCCTTGCCAGACAACGGACTCGTTCCGGATTCATGACGTGGTGAATGAGGGCATGACCGATACCTCGGATATTGCCTGGTCCAGCCGTATGATACTTATGAGTATTGGCCGCATCGATCCAGGTCTTTGAAGGACTTTCTGAAGGGTGTCTGCTTCTGTTCGCCATTTCGGGCCCCTACTCTTTTGTAAGATCCTAGGATTGCTGCTTCGTCTTTGTCGAGCGATCTGTAACGACAGGTCAGTCTACAAATACCATATGCTCCCAACATAGAGCTATGTTTACCTTATGCCTTGGAGTAGCTCCAGGGCCACAGCCTTGGACTCCTGTTCAGCCTTAGCTTCGTCGCCACAGCTTGAAAATGCATGACTTGTCGTCTTGATGCTGGTCACCTCGAATCCGCTAATGGCTAAGACCGGTGGTGAATATAGCATCATGTGATGAGTGCCCCCGAAGGAGACATAGGAACTATCATCACCACCACCGAATCTATTACCCACTTTGTGTATATTCTCCTAAGAACCTGTGGCTTGGGCCAACGAGGGCACCAAGACGGGATTACGGGGGCAGTAATGGGAGAAGGGTTCATCGCATGCAAGAGGAGACTCTCGATACCTGTAGCATCCAAGAAATACCGAGCAGCATCATCCCGACACGCGTGCAAGATCTCGATCGTAGTCGACCGAGATAAACATATCACACCTATCTCGATCCGAAACAACACCCAAGTGACCAAACACGATATCTCGAGGATCAGTGGCCCCGATCCCTCTCCGGCACGGAAGAAGCGTAGATAGTGGTGCTTCAAACGCACCGTATCGTCTACTGTTCATGTCCTCCAAGGCGTGGCGTTTCGTGGCTGGCCTTGCTTAGCGATGTTATCAGAGAGCGTATCAAGTAACATGGCTGCGACGACATTCTTGGTGTCGACAATCTTGCAGAAATGGTGCCAACGAATTCGTAGATCATCGCATTGAACCCAGAAATCTGTGGAAAGCACAAGTTCTTGGAACACCCAGACTCTGCGGAACCATGGTTTTGATAGTAGATCGCATCGCATACTGTCAATCTCATGCTCTGCCAATGAAAGCTGCCCAGAGTTTAACATGATGGCATGCACTGTGGCCTGGCTTTGAGCCTTGAGATTCGTGAACCGTTTCTTAAATCCCGCGGGCGACTTGCCGAGATGGATGACAGTATGATGCGCAGTAGAATAAATCCTGTCCATCAGCGCGACTTGCACACCCTCTTCAGCATTATTCGACTGATCGATGCACAAAGCATTTGCCCATATCCGACACACTCGACTCTTGTCGTGCATGTCCCGGAGAGCAGCGTCCAGGCTGGCAGTGATCTCCTTGGCGCTGCCACCTAGGCGTATCGCGCCCTTCTGGCTTGGATCGCCCCAGACGTAGGATAAAGCGGTGTATGGTTCGATAAGGTCATAGTCACAATCTGAGAGCGTAGCGTGATGCAATGAGCCCATAAGATCTGCACTGTGGTCGAGACTAGGCTCCAGATAAAGGAGGCGAAAAGAATCTCCGTGCTCGAGAGGTCTGTATTGAAACATATTAGAAGACACTATAGGAAGTTTACAGGCATAGTTAAATAGGCTTACTTTTATATTAAATCTTATAAACTTAATTAGCTTATATTCTTTTAACTTTTAAAACTTTTACTTACTTAAATATAATTTACCCTAGTAAAAGTATTAATACTTAATACTGAATTACATATATAAAGGTATATAATGGTATTCATAAGGGGAT